TCTTCAGTGGAGGATGATCTCTGGAGGTCGTTACCTGGGACTGCCGGAAACCGCAGCCGCCACACTGGCCGGCTGGTCTGGTCTGGTCTGGTCTGGTCTGGTCCGGTCTGGTCTGGGTTTGTCTGGTCTGGTCTGGTCTGGTCTAGTCTAGTCTAGTCTAGTCTAGTCTAGTCTAGTCTAGTCTAGTCTAGTCTAGTCTAGTCTAGTCTGGCCTGGCCTGGCAGTTCCGCCGCACTGTGACGCTGTCGCCGGCGACCGTCACTCAACGGCGCCGGCGCTGCGCTTCTGCCTGCGCCGCGGCCGGCAGCGGGCCGGCGGCTCTGGCCGCTCCGGGCCGTGGACCGCGGGTTAGATCGGTAACGGGGCCGCGTCCCTGCGCTGCGCGTGCGGCCGAAGGGAACGCCGCCGTGACCGATGAGGGGCGGGTGACGGCGCGTGAGGCCCGCCGCTGCGACACCGCCGCCGTCTGTCACCTCCCGGCCGTCACGCTGTTCCCAATGCGCGCTGGTGTCGCACGGCGCGCCCTCGAGTGCTCGTTACGGACGAGGTGAGCGTGTGGATGAGCGCTCGTTTTGGGATGACAGTTGCGCTAGTGTGTGAGCTCAATGAAAACGACGCAAGAGTGCCGGCGGCACCCAGCCTCCAGGCCCGGCTGGCGCCTCTCTATCCCTCGGGCGCCAAGCCCGCCGGAACCCTGCGCCAGATTCGTCGCAATTAGTGCGCCGTTCATGGCGCCATTACGGGTGCTGCGGTGGACGGTATCCCACTTTCCTCTTGTTAGGCGGCGCTGTGACATCACCAGCGGCGCCGGGGGGTCGCCGGGGTCACGCCGGGTCAGCTGGCTGCCCGGCTTTGGTGCTGGGGCGGCCGCAGCTGCGGCAGGACCGGCGCGCAGCTGCCTGTGCTCTGGCGGTGACACCGCCCCACCTCAGAGCGGGCTGGTGGCTTTACGTGCGGTGCGTTTCAGAGCCCACGGTGGAGAAGCGGCCGTTGGCAGCCTGAACATGGAAACCCCGACAGCGATCCCCTCGCAGTAGCGCACATGTGACCATTCAATAATTGCATCGTAATGGCGGTATCACGGCAACGTGGGTGCCGGTCTCTTGTCTCCGGGGTCGCCGGGGTCACGCCGGTCTCTTGTCTCCTGTCTTTGAAAGATCTCTCGCTGAGAACTCAGTAACGGCTAGATTTCAGCTCCCGCGCTGCAATCGGAGTTTGATGAGGCTGCGGCTGTAAATGTTCGCAGCAATTACCGGTGTTGTAGAACAAGAGAAAGGGATCGCTGTCAACAGAGGCCTGCGTTGCGTATATAATGAGCGTCATGCATAGGCGTTGCGAACGCTGCGGGTTGTGCCGACAACAGGATGTCTACAGCGTACTGCCACAGCGCCTCGCCTCGATAACGGAGCGACGGGCGGCACGTTCTCGACGTCCGGCGTCTCGCTCGTGGACAGCAATGTGAATCTTTCCGGGGGATGGATCTGCGCGTCCGCCGTCGAGACCCGAACGAAAGTGGTGTCCTTTCTATCACGCGAACGCGTCGCTGCTAGAAAGCTGTGCGCGTCCGCCACGTGCCGGAACACTTTAGATCGGCTGCGCCTGAACACACCGCCCTGAACATGTACTTGTGCGCTGGACTAGACGCCGCGGTCGGTGTTCAGCCTCGGCTGACGGGGCGGCGAGACTGATTGCCGACCGATCGGCGGCGCGCTCGCCGACCGACCGGTCCTGTCGGCCACGTCCCTCCGCGGCGATTCGACTTTCATGAGAGCCCAGAGCGCGAGCGTTCGCCGCGCACCACTGCCGCGGCGGCGGCGTCGGCAAAAAGCCGTCCGTGCTCGGCTCGGTACCGTTGCCCCGCCTTTGTGCGGCGCTGGGTGCTGGCGGGCGCCGTGAGCCGGCGGCACGCAGCGCGGCCGCGGACCGGTCGGCCGCCGCCGCGCCATTCCATGCTAATGAGCGGGCTCGCTCTCATCAGCCGCCTGGCCGCGACCGACGACTGGTGACCGGGCAGCGCTGGCGCCTGCCGTGACCGCCCTCGGCCGCGACGGACGACTGGTGACCGGGCAGCGCTGGCGCCTGCCTTGACCGCCCTCGGCCGCGACGGACGACTGGTGACCGGGCGGCGCTGGCGCTGGCGCCTGCCGTGACCGCCCCCGGCCGCGACGGACGACTGGTGACCGGCTGGCGCTGGCGCTGGCACCTGCCGTGACCGCCCCCGGCCGCGACGGACGACTGGTGACCGGCTGGCGCTGGCGCTGGCGCCTGTCATATCCGCCCCCGGCCGCGACGGACGACTGGTGACCGGGCGGCACTGACGCTGGCGCCTGCCGTGACCGCCCCCGGCCGCGACGAACGACTGGTGACCGGGCGGCGCTGGCGCTGGCGCCTGTCATGACCGCCCCCGGCCGCGACGGACGACTGGTGACCAGGTGGCGCTGGCGCCTTTCTGCGTGACGGCCCACGGCTGTGGCGGACGACTGGTGACCGGGTGGCGCTAGCGCCGGCGCCTGCCGTAATCGCCCCCGGCCGTGACGGCGACGGCACCGCCGCCTCCTCTGGCCCCGATGGGAACTGGTGCGACGCGTCCGACGGGAACGAGCGGGTAGGGCGTGGCGTGTCCTACGTCTCGAGGTCGAGTTCCGGTCCCCTGCCTCGGACAGCTGCGTGGGCCGCAGAACCCCTCACCGATGTGACCCGGTGACCTTATCAGTGCCATGATTTCGGAAGCGGAACGTTCGCCCATCCTTGCAGGTTGCTAGGTTGTTTCCGCTTACGTCTGCGTCCGTCGGCGGTTGCCTGTGACTTGGAGCGCCGTGCCGCCGCCGACCGCGCCGCGTCGCCCCGACTGGGCAGCGAGCGCGTGTCCGTCCGGTGGTCGGCCGGTCGTGAACCTGTCCAGACCGGCCCGGCGCCGCGTCCCCAGCCCGGCCCGGCCGCTCCGACCGCTGCAGAGCCACGAACCGGTTCAGCAGCGGGCTGGACCTGGCCGGCGTAGGACCTCCGCTGGCCGGTGTTTGGAGGGGAGCTCCGGCTCGCTGTGGCCTTCGCGGAATCGCCGCAGGGCGCGGTGCGGCCGAATGCGTCGCTGTCCGCGCTGCTGCGTGTACGGTGTGGGACGCTCAGCCGGCAGAGCCGATCTCCAGGCCGGCAGCTGGCTGTTGATGTTTATCTCGCCGCGGAGGAGACGAGAATACACGCCCGGGTGGCACACCACGCTCGGGACATCACAAAAAGGCTCGTTAGCTGCCGTGATGGATTGTGGCGTTGTGTCGGCCGGGTGTGACGGTGCGGTACACGCGCGAGATAACACCGGCACTGTAGGCCCGGACCCTGTCGTACAGCTCACTGGTGTAGAATTGGTGGAGCGTGATGCACCTTTGATCTGAGACAATATCCTCCGGGTGCTGGTAAGTGGGTCGTGTTGTAGTGGTCTACGGTCAGCGCGCAGTTTAGGGCTAGTACTTCACCGATCTGGCACCGCCTGGCACCGCGCCCGGATCCGTGGAGTCTCGGTCAGTCCGGCCCGTTCGGAAGACGTCCTACAAAGTGGTCGGAGCACTCAAGCGATCCGCGATGGACGCCCGATAAGCCGGACCCTTCTCCGCTGATGGGCTGGCCAGCGTGCGTGGCGGGTGCCGGCTCTGCTCTGTCACACACGCTGCTGGGCGGCGCCAGCGGCCGCCGGCGCTGGGGGCCGCTGGGGCCGCTGGGGGCCGCTGGGGGCCGCTGGCTGCTCCGGTTGGGCGGCAGGACGGGACGCTGACGTCGGCGGCGGCTCTGGCAGTCCCGCTGCACGCGGCACGTGTCGGCCCGGAGCCCCGCACAGGGCCGCATTGTCCGTGCAGTATCGACCGGCGCCAGCGGCGGGGCCCGCACGCCGCGGCTGCGGGCTCTCGCCAGCTCCCCGCATCCGGCGCCGGCGGCCCAACCAAGCTCGAGGGGGCACTCCCCAGCCCGGCGCTATTGTCAGTCGCCCTCGGCGGGGGTCTCAGCGGGGTGATTTGGTTATCTCTCGGGGCGCGGCGCTCGTTCACCGAGCCGCGCCAGCGAAGTCATCGCTGACGCCGCGGGGCGCCGCGCCGCGCCCTTCCGACGTGTTTGTAAACGGCCGGCGTGCGCCCGCCGCGCCAGCCGCGGCGAGCCTCCCTGCGAGCACCGACCCCAGGCCACCTCGTGACGGAGGGCGCCATCAAGGTCAGCGAGGTGGGAGACGAGTGGACGACCGGAGCATCCAGTCGTCGGCGCCGCTCTCCGTGATGTTACCTCCGTCCGGGCGCTCCGCCGCACCTGCCGCGGCGAGGGGTGGAGGCGCGAGCACGCTTCTGCGGGGCTGAGCGGGTCCGGTCGAACGGCGGCCGCGGACGGCTCGGTGGGCCGGCGCCACGCGGCCAGCTGACGCCCCAGCGCTGGCAGATGCGCTCTGCATACCGAATGAGCGTCGCGGATACGGGCCGGCGCCCTACAGCCGGCGCCCGCCAGCGGCGCTCTGACCTTGTTTATGCGTCGCGTGGAGGAGGATGCGCGACGACAGCTGGCAAGGAGCGTCACTGACGGCCGCCGTCAGTGGCACCCAGGCGGCCGTTTAACCTCCCGCTGCTCGTCACGGAGCTGACAATGGGCTGTAATGACGTCACTTATGTCGCTTACGCGCCTGATTGTCCTCGCTGATTTGTTTGGCCTGCGCTGGGACTGCTTCCGCTCGCTCCATAGAGAGGAAACCGTATTAGCACTGTGTGCTCCTTTGAACGACCCCTGGCCTGTTTTAGGGTTCTGGTTTCAGGGTCGTTAAAAACGTTCAAACGTCTCTGATGTTGCGGCGACGGCTCCCCTTCACAGCTCAGTCCCTCCCAGTTACCCTGACCGCGTGCGCCCGTGTTCCACTGTGCATGTGGTGAGGCAGCAGCTGTTGGCTCGTGCTGCTGACGACCGCCGACGGCCGCAGCTGCCGATCAGGAACTACGCCCGCACCGACCCAGTTCCCCATTTCTGTTCGCCAGGTGGCTACGGCGGCTCGGTGGACGCGGGCCAGGTCGCGCATGCGCCGTCGTCGCCGTCGCGCCGCGAGTCCGGCGCCGGCACCGAACAGGTGAGCCTCTCCGCACGCTGCGCGCGGCCGCCGCCGGCGCCGCCGGGCCGGCCCGACTGAGCGGAGGTCATGTTCTGCAAGCGGATACGACCGCGGCTGGGGTGTCGCGGCGATGATGCACGGCGGGCATCTTCTGCAGCGGGGCCAGCGGCGGCTAGCATCTTCTGCAGCGGAGCCAGCGGCGGCTGGTGTGGGTAACCGGAGAGGGGCGGCCGGGCGGCGCGCCGGGCTCGGGCCGCCGACCGCGCGGCTGCTGACTGGCTGACCCCACGTCGACCCCGCGCTGACCCCGCCGGGCGTCCTCCCTGGGCTCCCATCTCGTGGCCAGGGTCCCGTTTATTAACTGATACGCATCAGTGACGGGCAAATAGGCGCTGTTTGGAATAGGGTGGGAGCAGCTTTCTTCAAGTACAGATTACCCAATCACAACGAGCCGCTGGCAGAACTAGGACGCTAAGACATTTCCAGGGTGAATCCGTTTGTAGAGCAAGTCAGGCAAGCCTGCTCTGGATGGGGGCCTCTTGATCCCCGCCCGGCACCAAACCCAGGCCCGCCCGGTGCCTGTCGTCCGTTGCCTACCGTCCGGTGCCTATCGTCCGGTGCCTCCCGTTCGGTGCCTCCGGTCCGGTGCCTACCGTCCGGTGCCTCTCGTCCGGCCTCCGGTCCGGTGCCTACCGTCCGGTGCCTATCGTCCGGTGCCTCTCGTCCGGTGCCTCCCGTCCGGTGCCTCTCCGCCCGGTGCCCCCCGTCCGGTGCCTCTCATCCGGTGCCTGCCGTCCGGTGACCGGCCCGGTCCGTGCTCAGGAACCGGCCGCGGCACGGGTCGGCTGGCGAGGCGCAGCGCCGGCCGCCTCGGCGAGGCCGGCATTGCGTCGGTGAGGGGCGGGCGGGCAGGGCGGGTGATCCGCGGCCCTGACCTGATGTCGGGGCCGGAACAGGCGCAACCCGTGTTGCAATACCGCTGCTCGGCCGCTCCGAGGATTGCGCTTCGGCGTTGGCGCGGCGGTCGGAAGAAGGCGGCTGCGGCCTGCGGCGCGCCGAGTCCGGGCCGGTGGCGGCGAGGTCCTTTCTGCAATTCGGTTGATAACTCGTTTTCCGGAAACCATTCAAGTATAGATTTTCACCGCATTCACGCGCGCTTCCGTCTAGTCGCCTTGGTGTGGTCGAATGCGGATTTCTGATCGTTTAGGATGTGTCTGGCTGGGGGAGGGCGGGGGGCTTGATGGCAGTGGGTGACTTAGAATCCACTTGCGATGTCGAAACCACATTCATGAGTTCCATAAAGCAGACCAGAAACCTTTTTGTGCCCATCGGCCGTTTGGCGACATTTGCCTCCTTCGTGATCTCATTAGCCGCCCTCAGATTCGGGATATGTTGACCCACTGACCTCAGTTCCGGGGCTATCTCTTCTGAAGGATTTTAGTGAGCCAACTGAAGGGCTGGCTCCTTGTCAAATAACCTCCGCACCAAAGTTTGCATGCAGACACTACCCAGAAGGAACGTTAGTCTCTCAGTGACAAGACAGCACCCCGTTGTAAACTCGGCTGTCAACCATGGCTTGAAGCGAGTTTTCCGGTGCAGGATAAGCGCTCCGTGCACAAACAAGCCGGCCGGTGGGGACACGTGTTTACATTGCCCCTTCGCTCCCCAAAACACCCGGACGGAGCACATCATTAGCTAGGAACCCAAAATTTATCGTCTCATCTGTCGCTCCAAAAATGCCCGCAAGCACACAGCACGTCCAAGGGAGAACAGGAAGAGAGTCCGTGCGTTAGAAAGCAGTCCATGCCTGGCAGCGCGAGTGCTAAAAACAGCCCATGCCAGCTTGCCCGCTAGAAAGTCCCGGCCGGTGTGGCGCAGTTCAAGGTCGGACCGACGGCGGTCCCCAGTCGGCCCGCAGGAACCGTCGGCCGGGTGCCACCCGCAAATATCCGGCGTCCGGCCCCCCCCCCCCCGAGCAAGCACCGTCTGTGAGGTGGCCACGTGCGCCCCCGCCGGCTGCGCGCCGTCCCGCGGCGGCAGGGAGGGCCGCTCGCCGGCCGGCCGGCGGCCGCTGCACTGTGCAGGCCTGAATACCGGGCGCCAGGGATCAGTGCGCCCCTCCCACGGCGGCGGCCGCTCCCGTCTGATGTCAGGAGGATGGAGGGGCGTGGGCGACACCCGGTCGTGCCTGCACTCGCGTCTCACTGTGAGTCACTAAGCTCACGCCCTTACGTCCGGCGGCGATAAGCCGGCGGCCGCGGCCAGCGGCGTGAACATGTACGGCAGCCGAAGTCCTAGCACTGGCCTATGCCGATCAGCCGGGGGTCACGAGTGCGACTGAAGGATTACAGATGGGCTCGGTGCGTCGGTGATCAGCGATTCGTCCGTCAGCAGGTCATGTAATCGGTCCATCTGCTCACGCTGGGAACAGCTATCGGTTGTGGCGTCATTAACTTTAAAAATAGGTCGTCACGATCACAAATCAAATGTAAGTAGTGCCAGTTACGTTTGAGATCAGACGATTACAACGTGCAGCATATGTATGGAACGAAGGAGCCGACTCGGCAAGAGCGATTGCTGTTTGCCGAGTGTTATTTAAACCCCCAGGCGCCCCGTTAGTCGCAGATCCACACTCCGATGTTGGCGTTGCATGTGACGTGTTGTATATTTTTTAGTGCTGCGCCACATGGCCATACGCTGTCCAGCGTGCACTGGCGGCTGCGATAGCTGGGAGCCTCTTGCACACCTGTTCCTGACCCGAACTTTGATTGTATCTTTTTACCATGCTGTAGTCGAGGGCACTGGTGGGTCTACTGGGCATCTGGGTCACGGCCTCCAAGTCGGAAAGAGTTAGCGGTTGTTTTGGGTTTTTTTTTTGCTTCCAGGACCTCTGTGGTGACGCCCTCTTTCACGGGTAACTTATCGTCCAGCAAACGTTCGGCTCCTTTTGAGATGTGTCGGTTCCACGCCGGTAGCCGGGGAGTACCGCCAGTCACGTGACCCCGTTCTGTCGCTGTTCGCAGACGGAAAGTCAGCGCATCAGCACCTACAAGCACGTGGTGAAGAACGTGCTGGACTCGGAGAACATGTATGTCGAGTGCCTGAGCGTCACGCTGCAGGTGAGCTTACCCGGTGTGACCCCGCGCAGGCCCGTTAGACCCTCGAGCTGCGCTAGTTGTCTTCGTCCCGTCTAGACAGATGCCGGTTTTTTGTTCAGATCGGTTCTTCCGATTATCACCTTTTTCGGAAGTGACGTGTCCGTTGTGCTGTGTTTTTACTCCCGCCTTGAGACGTCTCCCGTTTTTTTCCGGAGACGTCTCTTATCCATGTTAACATTGAGCGTCACATTATCCGCTGTCTCTTTCTCTCTCCTATATCGTGAAGTCGTGTTGTCCGCTTTAATGCAGAAATCGTGTAGTCCTTGCCCACTGCATATTTGAATTCACGTGCGCTCCTTTCCTTTGCTGCTGACATCCCACCTGCGTCTGCTCCAGTACATGAAGGTGCTCAAGTCGACGATCGCCACCTCACAGCCTGTGATATCGCAAGACGACTTCAACTCCATCTTCTTCAAGATCCCCGAGCTGCACAGCTTGCACGCCGAGTTTCTGCGCGGCCTGCGCGAGTCGACCACCGACTGGGACGGCTACTCACCCATCGGGCACCGCTTCAAGTTCCTGGTAATGGCGCCAGCCGGGCGGCGCACGCACGTGTCCCCTGGCCGGTTAGCGCACACAGCGATACGATCGGTCCGCCATTTCATGCGGCGAAGCGGCGCCTGGCCGGCGCGCTCCGTGGCGGATTATCAGCTGGCCTGACGGCCTCGGTTCGCTCAGCCACGTCCCAAGATGGCTATCCGCAGGCGGCTAGCTCGGAGACATTAAAAATGTGAGGGATGTTTGGCGGCGGGAACTGTCGTTTGAGCGGAGGCAATCATAGATAAAGCGCGCGCGGGTTCAGTTGGTGCCTGATAAATTGTATGTAGCGTTAGGAAGTCAAGGAGCGTAACTGGAACCCAAACTGGTCCCGTGTAAGGTACTCTTCAAAATGTTCTACCATGTTATCCATCTTTAAAATAGAAGAGGTTACTGAACAAAGGAGCGATATAGAACATCACACGTACCGTTCCCTGCCCTGAAGAACTTTGCAAAGCGTGAGCGAAATCCAATGCCGGCTGGTAATTTTCTTTCGGAACTTGAGAATTCGTCGCTCGTGCAATCATGTCCAAGTTGGTCGTCTGTAGCGCAGACGTGCTGGCGCCCATCTCCTGTCATATGCAGGTGCTGGCGTGAGACCCGTTCACCGCGAAATACGAGCGCCTTGCCTCGGCGTCCGCTTCCAGTCCGTTTAAACCGCCGCCGCGCTCAGCGCTCCGGGACAAAGGCTGCAGCCAAGCTGGGGACGAGGGCAAGCACCGGTTTATCGTGTCACGTGGCGGCTAAGTCAGCGGGATGCGCGTGCCCGGCGTGCGCGAGAGCTCAGGCCTCTACGCGGACTCGGTGGGGGCGGAGAGCCGGTGTGTGAGCCGACGTCTCTCGAGGTCAGCGCACGGCGGCGGGCTGTGGAGCGGCTTCGCCACAAAAACTCTTACCGACATGAGGGCCACGACATTACTGCGGCTTGTTTGTAATTGTTCACATTAGTGCTACACGACCAAATTTATACCTCAAAATGCATACTTGTCATTACTTCTCCTTTGAAAACACATACAGCCATTACTTATACAGGACTTTACTTCTACTACAGAGACCCTTTACGCGACTAGAGTGCTACACAACAAAAGTGATGCTTCGAAAGCTTATACCCGCCATTATCTCTACCGTAAAAACTCATACAGTCATTGCATATGCATGGCTTTACCTCCACTGCAAAGACTTATACGCGGCATTACTACTATAACAGACTTGTGATGAAGCCCTTGCAGTGGAAGGTAATGACCGGTAGTAAGGTTATGTAGCATAGGTTTTGTCGTGTAACACTCGCATTGTGTATGCGTTTTTGCATTAGAAGTAATGTCGCGCATAAGTAACTGCTTGCATAAGTTTATACAAGAGAAGTAATGTCGCGTATGACCAAAGCCGTATAAATTGCTGGAGTAAAGGTAATGTCGCGTATAACTGATGTCGTAGCACTTCTACCGGTAGGAGTTCTTGCCGTGGCACTAAAAGAACGCCGCTGGGACGCTCCTCTGGCCGGGGTGTGGCTCCTCTGGCCGGGGCGTGACTGCTCTGGCCGGGGCGTGATTCCCGGGGTATGGTTCCTCTGGCCGGGGCGTGTTTTCTCTGGCCGGGATGGTGGCTCCTCTGGCCGGGGCGCGACTCCCGGGGTATGGCTCCTCTGGCTTGGGCGTGGCTCCCCTGGTCGGGGCGTGACTGCTCTGGCCGGGGCGTGATTCCTCCGGCCGGTGTGTGGCTTCTCTGACCGGGGTGTGGCTCCTCTGGCCGGGGTGTGACTCCGCTGGCCGGGGTTTGGCTCCTCTGGCTGGGGTGTGACTCCTCTTGCCGGGGCATGATTCCCCTAGCCGGGGTGTGGCTTCTCTGGCCGGGGCGCGACTCCCGGGGTATGGCTCTTCTGGCCGGGGTGTGACCCCGCTGGCCGGCGTTTGGCTCCTCTGGCCGGGGGGTTGGCTCCTCTGGCCGAGGTGTGGCGCGGGCCCGGAGACGCTGGGAGTCGAAGCACGGCCGGCCGGGCCTGCCACCGCGCCGCCCGGTGAGCGGCCCTGGCACGAGGCCAGGGCGCGACTCCCGCCGCTACCGCGCCGCGTCCCCGCGCGCAAAAACAGCCGGCCGCCGCGGGGCGTTGCAGGTGGGAGGCGGCGAGGCTGGTCGAGCGGCGCCGCCGGCCGCCGACCGCCGGCCGCCCGCTGAAGGCGGGGGTCTGCGCGCGCCGGAGCAAGCCATGACGCGGCCGGATGAGATGATAGGGCAGCGCTTCCGAGATGACATGATGTTGGCGAGGCCAAAGGGATTTGTTTGGTCATATGAGACGCTTATTCAGCGAGGGCACGGCGCTTATGACTGCGGACTGCCGCTCGGCGTCTCCTCGTCTGCCGGAGTGCTGCAGGCTGTCGCCCGGTACTCCCCCCCCCCCTTCCCGGCTGTCGCACTCCAGGCACCCCTCAACATCGGAATATATCTTCCGTGATCTCTCCCGGTGCATGCGGGCAGCACGAGAGGGCACCAAATCATCTGCATCGCGCTGCAGATGGAGCCGATCAAGCGGTCACACTGCTCGGCGGTATTTACACGGACATCGCGCTGCTGTCAGCGCTGCGTCACTTGACGCGCTGTCTTGTTTGGAAAGCCGACATGTCCAGATACACATGCTCGCAATCGTTTATATCTGTCGTGAGCATTGGTCGGGTGAAACTGAAAGGTTGTTCTCGTCTGTTGCGCTTGACACCTTTATAAGACCAGCTTAGGCTGTTTGGAACAAACCGCACGGGGACCATGGCGATTAGTGTCGGCACATTAAAGGCGCTGTTTCCAGCTGTAGCTGTTTACGCCCTAAGCAGGGGTCCGCGCTCATTGTGACCCACGAAAACAATTAGACACGCAGCAACGGCCGTGACAATGCGTACAAAAAACGCATAATTCCAGCTGAAACACAGGGGTCTCAAGTCTGGACGGCAGTAAATTCCGTGACTCACCTCTTCGGTCACAGAACAATGGCTCAGGAGAGGGGTGAGAGGACGCAAACGGCGCTGTAACCGACCACCACTCGGGACCATCGCCGCCTGGGGCGACGCGCGTCACCAACCGGTGGCCGCTGACTCACGCGGGCAGCGCGGCTGGCGTGTGGATTCGCCGTGACGGCCGCGCGCGGCGCGTAGCGACCCATGGGATGTGGCTGACCCGACGGCTGGCGTCCGCGCGACTACGGGCGTGTGGCGGTCCGCGGTTTGTTTGGTGTGGGTGACGTGAAATATGTGTTTTGCATTGTGTATCGGTTGCACGGTTGCGAGGTTTATAGCTCTGAACGTAGTTGTTTGGCGTCTAGTCATTCTGCGTCGTCTCGGCCGACTACTCGCAGCTGTGGTGTGTAAATGTACGTGCACAGATAACCACAAATCTGACGATTGTCATGACACCGTTGTAGCACTGCATTGAAGGGCTGTGGGGTCTACTTCAGACATCACACGGCGCGGGGCCGAGCCTTCGTCACGCGCCCGCACCTCGCTCACGGCGCCCGACCCCTGTCAGGGCTGGCTTGACACCCCGACACCGCGCGGACACTAAGCACCGCCCCCTCGCTGTTGGCAGGCGGAGAATATGGGCGTGTACGGCGCCTACCTGCAGAACTACCGGCACGCGCTGGAGACGGTGCGCCGCTGCTCGGCCAGCAGCGTCCAGTTCGCCGAGATCACGCGCTGTATCAAGCTGCGCTCGCTGCACGGCCAGACACTCTCGCTGGAGGAGTTGCTGCACAAGCCTGTGGCACGCGTGCAGCAGAATGCGCCTGTCCTGCATGTGAGTGACCTGCGGCCAGTGGGGCGCGGGGGGGGGGGGGGCATCGGAGCGGATCGGACTGGGCGGGGAGGGTGTTGTCGGGTGCTGGGGGCGTGAGTCATGCTGCATAGGGCGCGATGGCAGGGAGGCAGGTGGGGTTGATGACTGTGGCGACGGTCGCTGTCAGTGTTATGGATGTTCTCTGTGACATTTCTGTCGTGTAAAGACGCATTTTGTTTTGACAAGGAGGCAAGCCAGGCATTACTGAAATATGTTTCAATGCAGTGCTATTCGCCAGCGATAAAGGAGGTTATGCCTGCACGTAAAATCCATTTGACAGCTTACTGTCCCTGTTGTTTGTCCGGGACAAAACTAACGCTGTGTTCTGCGCTGGCGCAGGATTTGCTCAAGTACCTTCCTCAGAGCCACCCGGACCACCGGACGATGGGTCTGGCGCACGCGCTCACAATGACCCAGTCCTTCATCAACAAGTACAACGTCGCTGCCTCCCGACTGCCGGTGAGTGAGCGCTGCCCCCCGCCCCTCCCCTCCCCCAGTTTCGGGCGGCCACGTCACGCGTGGCGCGCTGGCGGAGTTCGGAGGCCAAGTGGAGGCCACTCCCACCGTGATTCTGTGAGTGTGGGGGAGAGGCTCCCAGGTGAGGTTGCTGGCGCTGTGGGCGGGGCCTGACCGGCGCCTGTCCCTGGCAGTGCTCGGAGAGGATGCAGCGGCACGTGGTGAAGAACTCGTTCATCGTCGAGATGTGCGACAGCCACCGGAAGCTGCGGCACCTGTTCCTCTTCAACGACGTCATGGTCTGCGCCAAGTACAAGGTGAGTGTTGTGAGTGGGGCTCCCCAGGGCCTTGGGCCGGCTCTGTTCGCCGGCTGTTGACTCGATGGAGTCTGCAAGAGCACGGGCATATTCGTGGTTTCGCCCTTTCGGTAAACAGTAGTGTAAACATTTGGCAGGAATGACGCGCTGCAAACAGAAGGTGTTGAATGCGAGCTAACGTCCGCGGGTTTTTGGAGGCCGCTGTCGATTTGCATTTTGACTTGGATTACTTTTATTAGGGCTAATTTATCCCACCCATGTTCCACCCCATTTGCACTGCAGCAAGTAGTCTCGAACAAAATGTAGCGCCTAAGTCCAAGTCAAATGATTAAGTTCCGAAATAGGACAAGTATTTGCATTGGATTTTGTGCCTGTTCGCTGCCCGTTTGCATCTTTGATTTGGGCAACGAACAATTACGTGAGCCCAAAAGCCAAAATTAAACCATTCTGATTTATCACCCCTTCATTAGGCAGCAGCTGAACCGCCAGTCCCATGTCGTCCCACATTGCCCCGCTAACCTTCTGTCCTGCGTGCGGACTGCCCCCCCCCCCCCCCTCCTCCCCCCCCCCCCACCTCGTCGTCCCACATTGCCCCGTTAACCTTCTGTCCTGTGTGCAGACTGCTACCCCTCGTCCGCTACACACTGCCCGCTGACCTTTCTCCTGCATTACAGGCGAGCGGCCGCAACGACAAGTTCACTTTCGAGGTCAAGTGGCTGACTCCGCTGGCCGAGATAGTGTCCAACTGTGACGACCTACCGGCCGAGCCGCGGGACCGCGACACGTCCGCCTCCAGTCTGGTAACGCTCAAGTCTCAGGCGTCAACCGTGCGTGACCAGATCCGCGCGCAGGAGCGCTACTACGGCCTGCAGGGGGTACGTCGGCCTGGCGGGTGGAAGGCCGCCCCGCTCCGGCCGGGGCCAGGCTGGGGCGCACTGGCTGGGGTCAGGCTGTGGGCATCGGCTGGGGTCAGGCCGGTGCCCACCGGTGCACTGGTGGGAGTCAGACGGGGGACGCTGTCTGGGATCAGACTGTAGGCACCGGCGGGGGTCAGGCCGGACTGCACCGGCAGGGGTCAGACGGGGGGCACCGATCGGGATCAATGCGACTAGGCAGGGCTAACACCTGTTTCGCTCCGTGTGGTCGACGTCCCGAGATCTCACGATGTTCTTAGCTTAGACACAGGCTAGCGGAGGTCGGTGTATGCCTGGGTTTTAATGGTTTCGCACAGTTTTGGACTTGTGCTGGCTTTGCGGGTCTGTCCTGATCGCATGTCTCATTGTTATCGATTGGTGGCAAACGGCACGAATGGCCACTAGCACCATCGTGTAAGCGTTTGATTGATCGGCTTTACATATATTTGAGCGTTTTCGCATGTGTCCAGCCATCCTGTTGTTTAAGGCTGTTTCGTCCATCTCAAGTACGTGGATATACATGTGACGCCAATTTGTGAGGTCAACCACCAGTGAGGTCCTTGGCAGCAAATAAGCGCACAGCGAGGGCTGGGCGATTGTTGGAGGGAAAACTATCGCCTTGCTGGCGGGTCCTTTTCCTTGGTCGCCGCAGCCGCACGCTGTGAACCGTGCAGCTGCTAAAGAACCCCGTGAACACATCGGCGTAAATGCACCCGTTGCGATGCTCTCGACCGCCGCGTCTCTCAGCTGACGCTCGGGAGCGCCGCATTGGACGCATCGCCAGTGGACCGCTGCCACCGCTGTGTTCTGGTCCGCACTGCTGACGTGTCTGCCGTCCGTGCTGCAGTGCAAGCGGGCCGACCAGAAGACGGAGAAGCAGCGGAAGAAGCTGGCGGACCTGGAGGCGCAGTTGGTGCTGGCCTCGCCCAACCTGCCCTTCCGCGTCTCCAGCCGGAACGGAAAGCACCAGGCGCTCTTCTTCCTGTCGTCCGATTTTGACCGCACCCAATGGTCGGAGGCTATCCATGTACTACAGGTACGCTGCGCCGGCCCCGACGCCCGGTGTGACTCGTTGTGCCGGTGCTGAAGCCGCCTTCTGCCGCCCACCGGTGCCAGACACTGCAGCCGGATCCTCCAAGGAGTTTGGGAAAGTGATTCTGGCTCCCTTCCATACAGCGCTATAGGGACAATGCTAATTTTTTGAGAGGTCTGGCAGCTGCCGTGAGCCGTCCCTGCTAATCCGCCGCCATGGCCGCGGCCGCGGCCGCCGCCGCCGTGGAGCGTCGCGAGCGCCGCCACGCCGCCGCCGTGGAGCGTCTGGCGACCACAGCAGCGCCGGACGGGACGGCGCCGTCCAGGGTGGGAGCGTGGCGCCGTCGGATGTTGCGATGTGGTCGGGGGCCGTCCGTGGGTCAGGGTCGCCTGTAAACGCCCTCAGACAATGCCCAGCGCTGTGTTGACTTAGTGGCCGCAACACACACTTAACTTGACCCGGGGTTTACGGGTGGGCCGTCGTTATTCGGGGTTAATTGCCTGCCGCCGCTCCTTTCCAGCGTCATGAATATCAATCTCGTTAACCGGCTGCCGTGTGCCGCGTAATGGACAATAACAGGCTCCGCTTGGTAATGAGATTGCGTAATGGCTGAGCTTCAGATCCCAAATTGGGTCATTCTTCATGTGTGAGGCATTCGGTTTGGTGACGACGGACAATCTGACATGGTGTGATGCATGTTATGAGCAAAAGGCCTGAGTTCAGACTTAATTTTCGCAACCGAGCCGATTATTTCAGTGTACTGTGGTTTCTAGTGCGCTTGAAGGCGCTTTGTCATTGCCCCTCAGGCACGGTCTACTACTGGCTGTAAACAGTTGGTAAGGATGCTTGAAACGCAATATTTTGTGGTTTACTGCGCAAGGTCACGTACCCGCTCAAGTTGAAATGACTGAGACTGTTAAAACGGACTGGTGTCTTGACGCATGTTATCTGCTGGGAAGAGGGCTCCCTGGTCTGAAGAAGCAGAATGAAATGTATCGAGCGACGCTTTGTTGGCACAACGAGCCCCGGCACGCTACTGCGTGGGGCCACGTGACCGCGCGCGCTCACAGGAGCTCACTGCCTCTGAAACTTGGACTTCCTCAGTTAGTCCTCGCTGCACCACGACTCTCCTGACGGTAAGGTCTGCACGTACTCCACCACTGCAAGATACGAATCTGGCGCTTTTGGGAATGCAGCTGTGGGTGACGTCACAACCCACTGACGTCATGGCTCACGCTGACCGTGCGCCGTCCTCCGCAGACGAACACGCCGCCCAGCCTGCAGGCCCAGCCGGTGGCGTTTGACGAGGTGCAGGCGTGGATCACCACCTACCGCAAGGACCTGCAGACCAACATGGGCTCGTACCTGATGCGCACGGGACGCGACGAGTCGCTGCTGGTCGGCGACCTGCACGTGATGGTCCAGCAGGTCACCGGTCTGCAGGAGGAGGCAGGTCAGTTAGGTCGGCTTGTCCAGCCGATAGTGTTGGCCATACGTAGTGGCTTAGCAGGTCACCGGTCTGCAGGAGGAGGCAGGTCAGTCAGGTCGGCTTGCCCAGCCGATAGTGTGGGCCTATACGTGGTGGTGTAGCAGGTCACCGGTCTGCAGCAAGGGCAGGTCAGTCAGGTCGGCTCTTCCAGCCGATATTACGGGCCCGCATGTGATGGTGCAGCAGGTCATCGGCCTGTAGGAGGAGGCCGGTCAGTCAGGTCGGCTCTTCCAGCCGATATTACGGGCCTGCACGTGATGGTGCAGCAGGTCACCGGTCTGCAGGAGGAGGCAGGTCAGTCAGGATCGCCTGTCCAGCCGACAGTGGGCTGCGTACAGTAACCGCTGCTGTGTACCTGCGTATACAGCCGCGGTTAGCGTAATTGGACGTTGTGGCGGACATAATGGTGCGGCACGTCACGAGGCAAGCGGAGAGGGGTGATATTCCGACACCGATTGACAGAGAGGGAGGACTATGCCACAGGTTAACTTACCAATGTTATATTTGGGCTCTTGAGCCACGCGAAATAGTGTGGCACGGTCTATGTGTAAAGGACCGGGTTGACGCCTCGTTTCAGAACTCTTCATCTGCTTTGAGGTGGACTCGTACGGGCACTTCTTCCGGAAGGCCAAAACGAAGCCGAACCGCAGCATCGCGCCTCAGTGGAACGAGGACTTCATACTAGAGCTGGAGGGCTCCCACAGCCTGCGAATTCTCTGCTACGAGAACGACGCCAAGGAGGGCCAGATTCTGCGGGGTCGTGCTCGGACAGAGGTGAGCGTCTTACCTTCCGTCAGCAACGCCAGCTACAGTCACGTTTGTCTCAAAACAGCCCGCGGGGCTCCCAGTAGGCTGGATGCATGATTCAAACTGGTCCGTATTTTGTGTTGTATCCAACAACACTCGTCGTGACCTAGAGTGTCTGGTTAGAGCATTACCTCCTTCGAAAAGAACCAAGCATTCAACACCACCGCGTGATTGGCTGCCCGCCGTTTGTCGTGCCCATGCGCTACGTCCGCTTCTGAGCGTGACATGCGCCACGCCCGCCGCTGACCGAGACGTGCGCCACGTTCGCCGCTGACCGAGACGTGCGCCGCGCCCGCCGCTGACCGGGGCGTGCGTCTGTCGCCAGCTGAGCCGCAGCTGGCTCACCACGTCCATGCAGGAGCGCACGGTCAATCTGGAGGGCCTGACGCTGACGCTCTCCGTTAAGTACGCCTCCTACGAGATGACCAAGCGCAGGCCCCCGCCCGGCAAGAGCAACAGGCTCTTCGGCAGCAAAATACAGGACGTCTGCAGGTGTGTATGTAGCTCTGCCGGTAACGTGCTTGGCGCTCTTACGTTTTAACAGCTTGCGTTTCAAGTAATGTCTGACGTCACATTACATCGTCTTGATTCCCACGCGTCGGTTTAGAAGCAGCCTCAGTTTTGTCCATAGCGTTTCTCATAGTCCAGTCACGATTACCTGTTATCGCTAGCCGGGCCCGGGCGAGAAAATCCACAACATTGCCATGAGCGGTTTCGGTGGCGCCCGGCCGTCTCACCCGCGGTGACCTTGTGTTCGCGGCAGGCGGGAGGACCGTTCTGTGCCGTTCATCATCACCAGCTGTCTGCGAGAGGTGGAACGGCGCGGCACCAACGAGATGGGCGTCTACCGCGTCTCCGGCTCCGCCACCGACATCAACCGGCTCAAGAAGCTTTTCGAGACCAGTGAGTGGCCCGGACGGTAGCGGGCCCGTTGGGCCGCTGAACGGGCGGCCTTCAGACTGACTGGTGCTGGCCAGCCTTCAGTCTGGTGTGCTACGGGACGCTGTATTACTGTGTTGGCCGGCCTTCAGTCTGGTGTGCTACGGGACGCTGTGTCGCTGTGCTGGCCGGCCTTCAGTCTGGTGTGCTACGGGGTGCTGTGTCGTGTAACGGAGAATGTGACGCTGGGCGTTGGTAATGTTTGGACACTTACGTGCGTGGAACAGGTCACGGCGGAGATTGATGGCAGTACGACCGCGGGTCTCGGTTTGTCTCAAAGCCAACGCCAATCGCGTCGGTCTGCAACTGGCAAAAACAACGTTTGTCTCTCGGTGTGATATGCATTCGGTAGATCGTGACCGTTGATCCTGTGAGACTGATCGAAGCCGATGCCCATGGCAGAACTTATGTGATAGTAGCCGTCGCCGGAGTAAACCTCCGAAAGCTGTCCTGTCCTTATATCATGCAGGTCTGTCGCGTCCACTTCAATTGAGTGTCCCCCTCCCTCCCCCCCCCCCCCCCCTATAAGTGCCAATGGTCAATCTCAGCTTGCTCTGGCAGACATCTACGAGGCGGAGCAACTGATCAAGGAGGTGGACATCCACTCGGTGACGGGCCTGCTGAAGCTGTACCTGCGCGAGCTGCCAGAGGCGCTCTTCACCGACGAGCTATACAGCCGCTTCTTCAACGCTTTCGGCGGCGGCGACCACGAGCTGCGCCGACGCCGCCTGCTGCACCTGTTCTCGGCGCTACCACAGCTCAACCAGAGCATCATCGTGTATCTGATCGAACACCTGATCAGGTGCGTCTCGTCGGCGGTGTGGGGAGGGCGAGAGCCGGACGCAGGTCACCGCCCCGTGTGAAGCGTCCGGCTGGGACCGGCCGTCGCGTGCCCGGACCGTGGGGCGCCGGGCGGTTCAGCAGCTCACCCGGCCGCGGCGGCTTAGCTCAACCGAGCGGCGCCTGCCCGCTGGAGGCAGACGCTTCACGTGGCGTGGGAATGGCGCGGGAAGGTCGCGCCAGCTGCAGTGACGCCTTGCTGCGGCGTGGCGGCCCGCGCCGTCGGCCGAAGCGGTCGGTCGGGATGAATGGAACTGGCGTGGGAAAGATGGGTGGTGATCCGTTCTGATCGGCCCCAGGAGCCAAAAATGGTCACGAGATTAGGCCTACGGCATGTTTGCGCGAGCTTTGCCGTTGTCCAGCGTGATTCAGGTTCCCGGTTCAGTCAGGTGTAAGGGTGTTTATATTCCCGAATCCAAGAGATTATTTTAACCAGTTTTCAGCAGTGATTCATAAGTGCATCGGGATATTCCTTTCAAACACTTATCTCATTATTTCAGTGGTGATATGGCTGTGTTTGTAGCCTTGCGTTTGGAGAAGCTCCATTAAATTAAAACAGATTCATTTAAGAAATAGCGCTCTTTTCTGGTGTATCGGTCTTGATACGCGGCACTTACCTTACCGGTCATTGGAAGAATGCATGACACTGAGTCATCGGCCCAGGCTGTATGGGCTTTTAAATTGAGTTTGATTTTAGCAAAAGCAAGTCAGTTATGAAGGCCAATAGACGTACTGGCTTTTTACTGCACTTAAGCAAAAGTAAGTAAATTGTGAAGGCCAATAGACGTGCCGGTTTTTTACTGACATTGTTTTCTGTGTGTTTACAAACTTCCAGCACTTGGCCGAACCGCCGAGTGCAGCCATTGTCAAGCGACTTAAGGAAACTTCGTCGCGCGGCGTGAACCGGGCGCTAACCGCCGTCCCCCACCCCCTGCAGGGTGAACCGGGCCGAGATGTTCAACAAGATGTCTCTGCACAACCTGGCGACAGTGTTCGGGCCGACGCTGCTGCGGCCAGGCCCGCAGGCGGACGGCGCCGTGCAGCCCGACCTGCTGGCCGCCGGCACGGTCGACGTGATGGCGCAGGCCGGCATCCTCTACTTCTTCCTGCAGCGGCGCAGCAACGGCGAGCCCATCCAAGTCGGCCTCGAGCCAACCGCCAGCTGAGAGCGAGGCGAGACGAGACGCGGCGAGGCGGCGGTGGGTGACCGCAGACCGGGCGGACTGGGACAGCGTGCCGGCCGCGCGGTCACGCGTGTCGTCGACGGGCTGTTGACCGCGCAGTGACGACGGCCGCGGTGGTGATGCCGTAGCCACGCGCCCTGGAGCCGCTGGTGTGGTAAATGGCGGATGTCTGAGAGCACCTTACGTCTCCGGCTCCCAACAGCGGGAGCTGAGGCGCGCAGTGTAATTTGTGAGACCCATGGAGTCCATGGACGCTTGCCTTCGTTTCAAGACACGGACGAATAGTTCTTCCCTACGACGTAAAGCGTCAAATACCAACGTCGTTTCGGTTGTACGACATCATTGCGCTACTTCCATATCACCAGAGGTGATCGGTCCACCACGCTGTGGCGCCGTAGCTGCGGCGCCGACCGCACCAGCGCTGGGCAGGACGGAACGTAGCGGTGCCGTGTTTATTCCGCTGCCGGGGTCCAGGCGCGGCGCTGATGTAGCCGCGGCGCTGATGTAGCCACGGTGTTGATGCAGCCGCGGCGCTGATGTAACCGCGGCGCTGATGTAGCCGCGGCGCTGATGCGACCACGTGACTGATGTAGCAGCGGCGTGGATGTAGCCGCGGCGCGGATGAAGCCGCAGCGCTGGTGTAGCCGCGGCACTGCTGGGGCGGCGTCGCTCGGCGTGGCGCCGGGCCGGTGCGCGGGCCCGGCCTCAAGAGACGGCCGGCCGCGCGGAGAGCCGGCCAGGGGCGCCGCTGTGATGGAGAACAAGGGACCACAGAGGGGCGTGCCGACGCGAGTGACCGGGCTGCCCCGTTCGGCTGTAGCGCGTGCTGCCCCGTCCGGCTGTAGCGCGTGCTGCCCCGTCCGGCTGTAGCGCGTGCTGCCCCGTCCGGCTGTAGCGCGTGCTGCCCGCATGCCGGGTGTCGAATCCGTTAAGTGTTTAAACTAGTCACAGCTTGTGATGGATAACGTCGGACTATCCATGACCCCGCATAATGTTTGTACGTGCATTTCGTTACGTGTGCCAAGTGTATCAGTCTGGCGTGTACAGCATCAAAGGCGCGCCGCGTCCCGCGCGGCGAGCCCTTTATTTTCGCCTCCTCGTTTTGATATGTGACGTGCTGTTGGAAAGCGGTTGTGCGCTTTTAATGCGACGCGTTTGGAAATGCTTTTGCACAGCTCTGTGCATTGTATTAGCCATGTTTTGGTATCTATGAATAAATGCGTCGTGCATGATCGATCGATGCTGGTTGTTGACCTGACTCGCGAGTACGCATGCCGTTCATGACTTTAATGAGGCAAAGTGGCCGACTGGCTCGGCGATAACGCAGAAAGGCTTGCAATCGCCGGTCGTAACGTATACCGTATCACTAACTGGTAAGAAATTGTCATTTTTCGCTCTCGGTTTCACATTTACGGTGCCTACGCGATGGGAGTCTGAAACCGACCGAGGGTCTTAACGCCCCCCTGAACAAGGCTGGCGGGATAGATTAAAAAAAAAAACGGGATCACTCAAGACGGAGATGCGGTCAACTGACGAATTGATTGGGATGGAATGCAATTGGGATAGAGACGCAGTTGGGTTAACTGGAGTCCAGTTGGGCTTGATTGGGGGTACAGGTGCATTCATTGGGTGGTTAGTGCCACCCTTACACTTTCGAGGTGAAAAGAAAGTGGATCAAGATCTGAGAGGTTGCAGAGAACGGAGAACTGCCCTGTCGGTACGTTGTACGTTTCTGCTTTATTCGAGCCTTCACATGTATTTAACACAAATTACACAGAGGAAATGACCACCATTGACGAATCTCTCGCCGTGACAAAAACAAAGTACCTGGAATAATGTGAACGAAAAGGTGACTGATGCACGTGTATGAAAACCGCAAACTGAAAATGACAAAATGAGCGCCAATTTGAAAGCACACCGGCCAACGTAGTTTGTACTGTTGTAGCAAAACCTTACAGTGAGCCCTGCTCGTGACAATCGCAGCACAGAGCCCAACATAGCTGGCCGGTCGCGCCGCGCGGCGTCGCCAGCGGAATACACCACATCTGACGTCCACTTATATTCGTTAATTCAAAGCACTCCTAATTTAAGTACGACGGCAATATATGGCAAAGCAGTTTCGAAACCGACACAATAGTCAGACACCCAACAAATACACGAATGAAATCGACTCTGCTAACGCGGCGCCTTTCTCGCCGGCGGTCGGATGACGTAACACCCGGCGCCTCGGCAGAACTGAGCAGCGCGCCAGGGCGACGGCCACCGACCTGGGACGCCTCCAGGGCCGGCGGCGCGTCACATTGCACACGAAAAGCTACGCGCACGACTACCTGCCTCTCTCTCGCTCTCTCGCTAACACCGAAAGCTAGCACGCTGTGTCAACGGCCGGGCCGCCACCCGCTGCGCGGCGCCGTACAAAGTGATGACAGCGAAAATAGAACAATGCCACGAGCATGGGACACAGATGACACTGGAGGGGATGGGTGTGCGGTGAAGACGAGATGACGCGCGCCGGTGCATGCTCTGCCGGCCCGGCGTGCCAAGATGAGATGGCCGGCCGCCGCGCCGACGACCACGCCACAGCACTGGCGTACAAAACACGCGCCGCATGCATAGATGTACGAGGGACGCGAAAATGACCCGATGAACATGATTAGAGACACCTGGGCGCCGCCGTCGCCGCGTCACAACGGCCAGAAGTGACGAGAACACACAGAGCGCGAACAGAGCGGCAGCGGCAGTGGCGGCGGCGGCGGCGGCGGGCCGGGGCTCGCGCGGGCCGGTCTGACAGCCCCGTCCGTCCGCTTGCCGCCTCGGGGAGCGCGCCGCGTCAGCACGGTGAGCATCGGGCGGGCCCGGGCCCGGCGCCGGCCGCCGGCGGCCGAGCGGTCTGGAAGTGCGGCCGGCCTGGTCCGGTGAGGCGGGGCGTCTCCGGCGGGCGGCGCCGCCCGGCTGGCCGGGGCCGGCCCGCCGCCGCCGCAGCCGCGCGCTTAACAAACGATGAACTAGGGCGGCCAGCGCTCAATCGCTCGCCGCCGAGACGATCGGCTTAATGTCCTGAGAGCACACCTCCTCCACCTGGTGCGGCGAACACTCCGAGGACACCTGGCGACAGCGGCCGCAGGCGTTAGGGACGACGCGCCGGCCAGGTGGCGCTGTGATGGCAGCTCCGCATCCGTCAGCATATGGCCGCGACACTCGTGGAGACCCGGCGCAAGGAACACTAGTCTGTGTTTCGGAAAACTGTGCAGGCGCGAATGGTGTTTGCAGCATTTGTAAGTGACAATCAGATCATATTCATTGAAACCAAACCTATGGGACTCAGACATTGAACGCAGATTTCCGGGACAAACATTGAATCCAGACCCATGGGACGACTAAACACTGAATTCAGAACCATCGGACGACAAAGAATCTGACCATTCCGCCCGGACACTCAAAGGCCAACAGGTTCCGCGTGCTGGATGATAAATACGTAAATAAGGGGCGAGTGCTTGGATGATAGTCGAGAGCGAACAAACATCCAAATAGAGCAATACCAAGCGTTGCAAACAAAAGACCCACACTTATCAACAAACATCGCAAATGAAAGCATACGACGACAAAATGTATCAAGACACTGCAAATGACAGCCGAACATGAAGATCGCATCGCACTTGCCGAGACATCGCAAACGAAAGCAAACCATAACAATCACCAGCGTCAGCATTCAGGCTAGCAACGGAACAGTGGTGCCAACAATAACAGCGTGGCCGTGGTGCCAACAGTAACAGCGCAAAAGAGGTGTCGACGCCTCCCTGCCACCCTGCGTGAGAATAATATTAACACGCAGGCAGCGACACCTACCGCATGCGCAGGCACGACACTGCCCTCCCCGTCCGCTTCCCAGACCAAAGGCCGCCGAGCGCGGCGCCGTCAGCCGGCACAGCCGTGCGGTGCAGCCATAGCGCGCGGCCGGGCCCCGAGGCGCCCGACTCCACCTGCAGCGGGTCCGGGCGCTGCTGGGGCGGCCGCTCCGCTCCGGCGGCGGCGGCGGCGACGGCGCTCACCTGGCTGATGTCATCGATATCGTCCGACTCGCCGATCATCTCGACGGTGATCTGCTCCGGCTCGGCCTCGTCGGCCTCGGCCGCCTCGTCCGACTCCATCTTTGGAATGTGAACGACCGGGTGGACGACCTAGCGGGGCGGCGGCGGGCGCGTCAGCCGACGCCCTGCCGGCGGCGCGCGCCCTGGCCCCAGTCCCCTGCCCCAGCCTCCAGCAGCAGCAGCACCACCACCACCACCACCACCGCATTGACCCAGCACGCCCGGCCGGCCGTTAGTACAAGCGCGGGGTTAGGGGGCGCCGTCCGGGCGGCGAACACGGGGAGGCGGACCGGCCACCACGCGCCTACCTGTAGCGTCTGGCCGTCGGCGCTCTGCACGTGCTGCACGTGCTGCACGTTGGTCACCACCGTGTGGTACATGGACGAGCTGATGGGGATGGTCACCATGCCGCCGGCGGAGAAACCTGCGGCAGGGGCGGGCGCGTCAGGCGGCCAAGGGCGGACCGAGAAGCGACACCCGCTCGTGGCGGCCACGCACTGCCCCACCACGAGTCAAAACACGGCAGCGGAGCGGCTATAAACGGCTGTCAAACAGAGAAACCACGGCACAACACTAGTGACTGCCGACTGTACCCTCGCTTTCGAAGAAACAAGAGGGTAGAAAGAAAGAAACATGCTGACCGGGTAATGACCTCAGTACATCAATGCACAATCGCAAGCGTCGCAAACTGCTGCAACGCGACTGAAAACACTCCAACGCGACCAGCGGCGATAAGACAGCTCGACGCCGAATACCCTCTCAGCACACAGCTCAGAGACAACGAGCGGGGCGGCGGAGCAGCGCCGCCGCCCTCGGGCCGTGGGCCCCATGCCCACCGGAGCCGGACCCAAGCGGGTCACCTTCGTCGCTGACGCCGTTCAACACCAGGTGGCCCTCGGCGTTGATGGTGGCCTCGGTCACCGAGCTCAGGTCGATGTTCATCGTGTGCGTGCCGTCGCCGTCCAGGCCGTCCGCCTGCGGCACGGCCAGGTCGGGGTCACCTCTGGCGACCGGCGCCGGCCGTAGGCGAACAGCGGCAGGGGCAGGGCACGCCAGTGACCTCGTCAACAACGCTGAGTCTTGCGCAAATGGTCGTGAACAGCAAGTTCCAAATCAAGTTAATGCACCCACAGCTGAAAGCGAGAAAACCCGCTTAACCCAAGGAAAGCCGTCTTCAGAAACCCTCTGAAACTCAGCAGAGATCGTACACAACGCCTGTCTTCCAACCCACGACGCGGGAGCAGATGAGCGCCACGCGCCTCAGCAGGCGCCGGAGCACTGGCGGGCCAGCGACGGCTGACAGACACCCACCGTGGTGACGCCCTGCACGTGCGCCTGCGTGCCGTCCGGCAGCGTGATGACCGGGTTATTGGGGTCCACGTGGATGATGCTGACTGTGCCGTCCGGGTTGCTGATGGTCTGCACCACCGTGTGCGAGTACTGGGACGGTACGTTCTGCGGGCGGACGACCGGCTGTCTCACTGATCAGCACGACACGGTCACGATCCAGGCACGCGCCCGCTGACGCCGCGTCGCGCCATCCCATTGACACGGAAGCGCAATTACACAGCGCTTACCACAAAGCCTTCGGTGATCTCCGACACCAAGTGTCGTCCAACGTGATCCAGCGAAGCGGCCGACCACACTAACAGGAGCGTTCGGGGAGGAAACACGGAGAGCAGTCAACTGATGCCACCGGTGATCTGACACAATCTGCACACATGTGCCAGGCCGCGCTGGGACCTCTGCACCGCGACAAGCATCCGGCGCTGCCGGCTAGCCCCGAGCTCGGCGGCCGTGCCGGCGCTGGCGGCCGCCCCCGGCCGCTGCCGACACGCACCAGGCCGTGGTGCGTGAGTTTGGGCGGCGCCGTGCGGATGACGCCGCCCGTCTGGCCGCCACCGCCGCCGCCGCCAGAGCCGCCTGTGCCGCTGCCCGGCAGCGACTTCTCGTCGTCGTCGGAGAAGGCCGGCAACAAGTCGTCGCGGCCGTGGTAGCGGTAGCAGTTGATGACGATCTGGCGGAGCGCGTGCGTCCAGGAGACCTGCCGGCCGCCCGCGAGGTCGTCACCATCCGAACACTGGCCGACTGACACCAGCACATTCACAGACGCATTCACTGCATGAGCGTACGCTAGTAGCCCGAGCCTAGGCTCATTGAACAGCCCTATTCTGCCGCTCGTATGGCTAGCCTTACAGTGACTGTACAATGAAAGCAACACGGCCACTATCGAGCAGACGGACACGCGTTGAATGAGGCGTTGCTGAGTTATTTTAGTTGCATTGATGCAAATGCAGTCGCACACCTATCTCTCGCCATGCAGGTGTGCGAAACAAACGCACTAACAAACATCAGCGCACACCACAACAATCAGCTAATCCACAACTGCAACAGCAACGCTAAAACAAACAAAACGTTTCAGCGCAACTAAAGAAACAAAAAAGGGTGCGTACTTTGGCTTTATCTTCTTCCGACCGGTTGTCCATTCTGACATTGGCCCAGGGGACGTTTTTGGGCCACCAGTCGGGTCGGGCGGCGCTCTTGCCCCAGCCGGGTTTACCCTTACCTAATGGGAACACATGCAAACGTAAGCCACGGTACAGAACGCCACTGAGCAGCCATGCGCGGTGCGCCGCGCCGGCCGGCCGGCGGCGGCGGGTGAGTGATGCCACAACCATTCACGACAGGCGGACAACAGGGGCGGCCGGCGCCGGCGTCACCTTCTGCTTCTGCTCGTCAGTGCGCGCGTCCATGCGCACATTAGCCCAGGGCACGTCCTTGGGCCACCAGGGCGGCCGCGTGGCGTCCTTGCCCCAGCCGGGCTTACCGCGGCCTGCGGCACAAGCGGCCGGCGACGCCGCTCGTCAGCCGCAGCAGCGGCGCACCGGCGCCGCCGCCAGCCTCGTCGGCCAGGCCCGCCCAGACCGCGAGAGCACAAACACGGCCACCGCCCGCCAGCCCCGCTCGACCCTCACCTCGATACAGCGGCGGCGGCGGCGTAAACACCGCCGTCCGCCGGCATACGCCAACGGCGGTCTTTCGCCGCACCTACCGCCTCCAGAACAGTGTATTTTGTACTGTGCCCGTAGATGAAACATGATATTTCACGGATATCTAGGCATTCAAAAAGCAAGCATGCATATGGTGGTTGTGCGGGACTGTACGGCATGTTCCGTCGAAGATATTGCACATAGATGACGCTCTTACGTCCTGTTCAGCAAAGACAGACATAATGTGTTAATTCCAGTCGTGTGACCTGCTTGTGTTCACATCCAACCGGTTACTTGTTCGCTGAATGTGAGAAAATGTAGTACAAACTTGCTCACATTGCTACTGGAGGATGTGAAAAGATTGCTACGAAAAGGTTTCTTTTGTGTTATTCTACAACTAGTTTCGTTCATATTTTGACACTGAGGTAAGGTGTGGTAGAGTTTTTCCTCCATCTAGAACGAACACGCCTACACATGTTATACATAGACACCACATTCGAGCATTTGCTTGGAATGGGACGGTGATATGGACCTTAATCCGCTGCGTGGATGTCCCGGACGATGGGATATCATGATGGATGTGGAGGATATGGGGTTCCTAGGGGGCATACTGATATAGGCCAGATGACGGAGACGACATAATGACATAGGGACGAGAACAGAAGTGACACTGACGTAGCGCAAATGACTGAGAGGACATACTGATATGTAGCGGTGTTTATATATAGGACATACTGATAAGGGCAGATGACGGAGGTGACATACTGGCACAGGGTGGATGACGGAAGGCATACCGACACAGGACAGATGACGGAGGTGACACACTGGCATGGGGCAGATGACGGAGATGACATACTGACATAGGACAGATCACAGAGGTGATATACTGACACAGCGCAGATGACGGAGATGACATACTGGCTCAGGGTTGATGACGGAGGCGCGTGCCCACATGGACTCTCTTGTCGGCATTTAATGAAATTAAATCAGGAAATCTATTGTGACTTGTCTGACATACCACTGACACAACTCACCGCAGAGGATAACTAATGTCAGATGGAGACAGCTAATACATTAAAAATGAACCATACGTCACAGCAGCACGACACGCTTCCGCACTCCCTTTTAATAGGTATCATTAGTGATGTTCAACACTGCTATCAAATGGACAGTGGAGGCTTTTCCATAAACCCACAGATAACGGTGCAAGTGCTATGGGGTATGCGCAGGAGGAGATCATGGTCAAAGCACTGCCTCTCTTTCGTCCCAACCCACCTCTAGCCATCGGATCAGTCGGCCAGTTACGCGCTTTTTCCAGCTTTAGGTTACTCATCCGAACCATTCATTGAACCATTAACAAAGAGGCCAACCAGCCCCCTCCCCCTCATTTCTTTCTGTCTGTTTACATGCCACAGCCGACAGCCCCACCGACGTGCCTAAAACCGATTTGTCCCAGCATCCTTGGCCACGGGCCGGCTCGCCCCATACGCGGCCATGCCCCCTGCTTGCCCACCTGTCGAATACTTCAGCATGAGCGGGATGAAGGCGCGCAGCTGCGCCTGCGTCATCTTCTCCACCGGCGTGGGGATGCCGTCGATGACGAGCGGCGGCAGCTCGTGTCGCGACGGGTCGTCCTGCACGGGCGGCGGCGCGTGCCGCGACAGCGCCGCCTCCAGCTCCTGCATCACAGGCACCCGCAGCGCGCGCATCTGCCGGCCGGACGGCGGGGAGCGGCGGCATCAGAGGCGCCCAGCCACGGCACGGTACAAGGCAGCGCGAGGCGCTCCGGCGCTCGGTGCCACGCTTCGAGGTCAGCAGCGTCTTCAGTCGAGCCGCCAGTCAACACCAGAGTCTGGCGGCGCTGGTGACTCAAGATATCAAGCACGTCGTGAAGTAATCCTACAAACAGTTATGACGTAGTTCATGCGTCGCCTAAAAGAAGCCAACGAGCCAGCCCTAGCTCGATATCACCTTATCGCAACCGTGCCGGCCCCCCCCCCCCCCCCCCCCCCCCCCATTGAAATCAATAGTTACCATCGACCACGTGGCCGCCGGGCATGAACGGACAACCTCCCTCCGAAGCCAGGGGAGGAGTGGCCTTAATCCGAACCCTGCAGCCCCTCGTTATACCGTCCTCCCCCCCCCCCCCGCACCCCCGCCCCCGCCACGCTTCGGCGCAGCGGAAGCCATTACTCCACTGGGGCGTTTCCTCCCGCTTCGACCCACGGATGCGGCAAAGGCCACTTTCGGTGGCGGGGAGTGGTGACGGGGGAGGGGGGAGGCACGGACCGGGCCACACACCTGCCCCGACGCCGGGTCGAAACAGCTACGCGCATACCGAGGGGAGCCCGAGCGGAAAGGGGGACATAGGAGGGGGGCGGGGGGGGGGGGGCACGGGACATTGGCATGGCGCAAGGAGATCTTGCTGCACGACTTTAGCTCCCGGTAGCAACGGGAAACACCTGTGACGGCCAAGTGCGGGAACATTCTAGCTGCTGAAGGTCTGCTACAATGCATACTAGAACACCATTCAAAAGGATCGGATATAGCTAAAGCCTTCATAACGCATTATTCCTGAAACGATTAGAACACCAATTCTTTTATAACAAATTTCCGAGCACCCTAAACCCCGGAAAAATCGGGAATATTCACATTTTCCTTCTTTGTCTCCAGCCGTAACGCCATGAGCTAGGATGCCGGCATAACGAATCTACCATTACTAGATCCCGCTTCCCACTGTCCATGTCATGACCCCAAAACGTGAAGAATTGTCATGCCGAACAAAGCAGCAACATGTAAAAAGCAAGCCAAGGCGGAAGTCATACGTATCATGAGGAGAAGCCGTAAATTCCCACACTTTTAACTTTAAAAACTGCTTCGTAGATCAATCGCTTCCGTGAAGTTAGAAGCGCAGGAATGTCATATATGTGCATTGAGGTGGGCTAGAATAGCGCGAGCACACCTTGCTAAACAGCAAGATTCCGGGATGGGAGAGGAAAGAGCTTGAAGCCCTGACACGTAACCACCACCAAGTCGAACCACCACCACCAAGTAAAACCATTCTGCTCCACCGCCGGTCACACGGCCAGCAAAGTCGCCCGCCCGCCTTCACTCACCACATCCTCGAGAGGCTTGGCGCCGAACACCTTGTAACTGTTGTTGGGCTTTCCCGGCGTGACGAACATGACGACGGCCTGCTGCCCCACGCGGGTGGTGTACTCGTCGATCGTTTGCTGCAACGAGAGGGCAGACAGTGGGCGAGTGTTCGGGGATCCGCGCACCCGGCCTGCTGCCTGGTGGGCGGACCTGACGGACGGGCACTGAGGCCGCATCCAGCCATTCAGAAGGCGCTCCTCAACAGCGGCGAAACTGCAGCTTCGCCGCCTGTTCTACGCCGTGAAAGGTTCTTTTAGCACGGTAAACACGGCGCTATTAAAAGCACGTCACCTCGTGGAAGCTCCCAATTAGGGCATATTCCGGAAAGTCGTCGAACAACCGCCCTCGCGGACTAGCCTTCTTCTGTTTATGTTTTTGGCTAGAGCTTCGCTGGAAATGCGCGTCGTATCGGATGTCATTGTTTACAACTGGAATAAACGGAACCGCGGCAGTGTGATCTCATGCCCTCCCCTTTTCCCATTCAACCGAGGCTCCGCGCTCCGCACTCCTTCAAGCGCGGGACCCACGCATGCCCAAATGTAGCATACAAGGCGCATTTACTGAATGCGCGTCACCAAACTCGAGCGCAGACGCCGCTCCCCATGTCCCCGCTACCTTCATTTTCCTGATGAGGCGCGTCTGCTGGCGCTTCCTGATGGATGGGTTCGTCTCGAAGGCGTGCGGGCGTTTGCGCTTCTTCGCCGACGCGATGGCGGCGGCGGCCGCCACGCCCACGGGCCCTGCGGCGCCGGAGCATCACGTCATTGGCGGCCCGCCAGCGCCGGTAGCCCGACACCGCGCGGCCCGCGCGGCCCGGCGGGAGGCCGCGCTTCCTGCCCAGCCCGGCCCGGCCGACCGCCCCGGCGGACGGGCGCGCAGAAGTCGGCGCCGCGCCGCGGCAGGGGGGTCGCACGTGCCGCCATGTGCGGGGGGTCGTCCGCGGACGCGGACGTGTGCCGGCTGGAGCGAGGCGACCGACAGGGCACCCGGCGCACCGTCATCCGCGGCGGTCGACCGGATACATAAAAAAACGACAACATGCGCCAGACCCCACCATTTTCTGTCCACAGGACGTGAACTAACATACCAGACGCGCTCCATGGCATGTTCATGCCTTACGACGTCATGTAAGCGTAGCCCTCCGGAACCCTCCCTCCCTAATCTCCGACATCTTGCATACCGAGGACGCTTTTTCCAAAACAACGAATAGTTTACCCGAAAGGGCATTCGCCATTCCGTTTCTGACATTGAAACGGATTAATATATTTTGTATTACACATTCTGCGTTAATAAAACATCGAACAGATCATTTTCATCCCAAAAAGTTAAGCTTGTGCATTCGCGTACACAACTTTTGAGTATTATACTGGAACAAAGAGTCGTCAATCATCCGAAAATCCAAAGACCTCAAGTCATTTTCTTAAGCCCCCTGTCGCCTGGCCGTCCACCAGTAACTTCACCACCAGCTTTTATACATTCGGTCACTTCGGGTGGCAGGGATGCCGATATTTGCTAATGCCATCACTGCCCCTTCCTGTTGCCCCTACCCTCGCTCAACATTGGCTAATCCGGCTGGCGGTCAACCCAGCATCTCGGCACCTCCGGCTAGGCAAACCAGGCGGGCAGGTCAGCTTGTGGCCAAATGGCAACGGATGGACAGCCGAAGAACTGCCAGGCTGCCAGACGTCCGGAGGCCGCCGGGGAGTTACAGTTGTCATGACTTTATATTGACACCCTGCACCTCCAACTGGATTTCTTTCGGAGCTCTTTTCACCACCCACCTGCGGCGGCCAGCTGGGCCGTGACCTCGTCCGTGGTCATGCCCGCCGTCATCAGGCCGTCGTCGTCGTCGTACGAGCCGGGCGACGACAGCATGTCGTCATCGTCGTCGTCCTCCGAGTCCATGCGGATGTCCTGGTGGATGGTCTCGGCGGCGATGTTGAGCGGGTTGTCCGAGTTCATGCTGGGCCGGCGGGGGAAGGGGGCGGCTCGCCGGCCGGTCACGGCCGCGACGCTCGCCTGCAACGAGCCCGGCCGCCGGTAAGACGACACGCCAGGCGGAGGCGGTCGGGCCCGTGCCGGCGGCGTATGCAGCAGGCCGTCCCCACGCGCGGCAACGGTGTCGCGTGTCGCAGCCACCCGGCCGGGGGGCGTCGCCCAGACTGACGCGGTGCCTCTGCGGCTGAGGTCTTTCTTGTGCGACCTGATCTGAAGCTTTCGCAGCTCGTGTTGCAGCTCACTATTACACCATCCCTGGTACGACCACTACCGTTCCAAGCGTAAATTGAAAACGAACGCAGGTTACGACGAGGTCTGGATTGGTACCGTCCCTAACGCGACAGTCTGTCAAGAAGCAAACGCTGCTCAAAGTTGAACCATCAACAATCGTAATGTAGGTCATGCATACATCAATTCGTCACCCAATTTCTTCAGTCCACCACACATTAGACCAACATCGAAATTACGCGGTAGCCCATATTCGGCACGGTATATTTCTGCACAACCACCAGAAACTCGGAGGAATAAATGACGAAATCATGACTCAGTTGCTAACAACGAAAATTATATGAAATTAAATTATTGTTGGCCTTGTGAATCACCTCATAGTCCAAGCAGTTAACAAGCCCTAAAGCCACAAATACTCGTTTATGTATGATCACAGAAATCGTACCAACCGACTCATTCATGGTACTCATCGCGTTCAGTTGTACTCATTGCTTGGGATAAAAGGGCACCTAAGTCACCAAGAACTAAAGGCACTTAGACCACCAGGTGAAACCTAGAAATTTCAAAGTCATCCCGTTTGCCGCCCTCCTCTGACGCATTGTGTATGTCTTCCCCCCCCCCCCCGCCCCCTATGGCCTTTGCAAAGTCAAGTGATGACTTCATGTCGCCATTTCCAGCGCACCTAATCCACTGTTTGACCTCCATTGGTTGGCGCCTTACGGTTTTGATACAAACGGTGTGCTTTTCGAATGCGCCGTTCGCCACGATGCTCCTGAGGTTGAAGTGTTCGTTTCCAGTCGAAATTAGCAGCGACGTGAGTCATCAACTAAAAAGGCCGAAGAGGTGGAGTACAGAGGACTCCTATTAAATGGTATGATACGCACAGTTTCCGAGTGTCCCCAGGAGATGATGGAGAGTTTCATGATTGAAGTATCCTGCTCCACCAATAACAAATTTCGCACGTTTTGCCAGCTATGTTGCATTCATAACAAATGAAAAACTTTTTTCAAGTTCCGTCTTACATAAAGAAGGCTTAAAGCAGTTTCAGCGTTTTCACCCGACACTTCTCCGTTTACCTAGACTCCGTTTACTCCAGCTCCAGCCAACGGCGCCGCCACCTAGGGGAGAGGACGGGAGCGCATGACCATTCCCTGTACCTAGTGGCAGCGATAATTCTACCATTCCTCCGGTTCAGAGCCCGAAATTATCGGCTAGCAATTGGTCCCTGACGAATTTGTACCCCAAATTTCCACCCCAAATCGCCCCCATGCGCGAAGTTCTGGCAGCATCCCTGCTTTAGCAATACTGGCTGGAAATGGGATGTGCTCGACGCAGAAAAACCTCACTTCAGTACGTGTCACTACATAGATATCATACGGCATATAGCAAATAAAAAACGCCAGATACTTGCTGCATCACGTAGTTTAAAATCATAGCATCCATTCACAAGAAATGTTCCTTCAAGTTGGTAGTTTTCCATCGACCCGTTACCATGGAAACGGGAACGACGGGAACGGCCCACGATTGGCGGCGGAGATGTGCGGAAAATCAATAATTGCAACCAGCTCGCTTTGCCTCCAGGTTAAAATGCGGCAACGGGGCTGATACATTCAAATAAATACTCAATGTCGGCACATTTTACGCCCAACCAACAAAAAAGTGCGTGGAAGAAATTTTCACAACCCAGTCACAACACAGCGCAAGACTCCGTCCCCATGCTATTCTCGGCCATCATAAAATGGGAGCAGACATTCCAAACCCCATCCGCAGACTAGAGGGCGTCGGGACCCACTGACGCCTGGTCCCCCTCCGACGACGCCCGGGGCATTGGGCACCGTTCCCCACATGCGTAGAACGACTCGCGAAGGAACGCATGCCCAGCGAAATTTGGCTGTGTACGGCTGCGTGTGCACCTGCGTCCCGTCCTCAATTTGGCTCAGTCGGCTACGGGGAGCGGTCCAGAGACCATTGCGATTTTAGCGTCAAAAACGTTGGTTTGTGTCCCACCAACATTCAGGCATCATTTAAGTTACTAGTGGAGCTCTTTGCAGTGATCAGAAGCGGAAGCATTCACGCAAAACCATCATGAGCTGCGCGACAGCCAACGTCGCCCCTGGCGTCATGGCGGCTCAGCACCATTTTTACGGAGTCTGCGCAGTAGCGTTCAGCAGAAGGCTTTACTTAACCGAGACAGCAAGTGGGATCAAGGGAAATGTAAACACCACGGAGGAAACTCAGTCTACAGCAGTTGTCCAAAACATGACGCCTACTTACCAAGTTATTGGTGCTAAGGGTTCCTGATCCACGTTTTCGCCACTCAGTGCCACAGTCAGAACACAAATAAGAGATGAGTGGGAGCCGTGCGATGTGCTGCCATCTATTGTTCATTAAACTAACTATGATTAATGCAAGTAACTCTGGGATTTTGACCTAACTGATTCTGCTAAAAACTTTGAAAACACTTGAGAGGTAGATCTATCATATTTTCATAACACAAACATACGTTGTTAAGCTTAAAAGGGCTGAAAAATGGATCTTAAAACTGGATCAGCTGTTTTCTCGTACGGTTTATATTTCCATTCATAAAGAAATCGGTCGAACATCTCTGAGCTGGTGCGGGCCAGGGGAGGTTGTATGGCGGATGCCGGGTTCAGCTGAAGGTGATTATTGATTTGTCTTGTGCACTAAGCTTCTGATAGCACGTTTTTGATACATAAAAGGTGACCCCATTGAATAGAATGGTAATGCAGAAAACGTTCCCTGGTGCAGCTTATGCATTAGCATGTGGGCGGTTTGACAGGCACCGGTCCGGGGATAATTTGGCAATTACCAGACAGCTGCATTCCTCAATATCGTCGCTTTTTTACCTCTGTGGCTATATGATTATCACTGAAAGCTTGCTGCTATACTAGTTGTGGGCAATTTGGTGGTATGAGTAGGATGTGTTTCTAGTTTGGCCTGCTAAAAGCAGTTGCTGCCCCTTTAAAAAGAGCAGAAAATTGAGAAACTCCGGAGTAACTTGTCAGCTTCATTAAATTTGGGATGGAGCACCATTGTTACTTTTCCTTCTTCTGGCTTAGCTTGTTGCAGGGTAACTTTAGAACAATGTGTGGGTGCAACATGCTTTACAGTCACAGTCCAGACAGCAAATGATTGATGTGTTGAACATGTCTGATGTAGTAGCAGCACCACAAAAGTTTTAGCATGTGTATGCTGTGAATCCAAGCACTCAGAGTTATGTGCCTGGTCACCACCAATCTGTAGTATAGAAGGCCAATGTTTATGATATCATGACATCAGAAATGTAATTTTTGGCAAGTATGCTTGGAGTGAATTTATTGTTCTGAAATCATTAGTTAGTTCAGTGCCAGCTAGCCAGATGTGAGCTTACTACATGCAAGCAAGATGCTTGGGGTAACAATGTTTTGAGGGTATCTGGTGCATGGATCAATTTTTTGCAGCCTGGATCCCAGTGTGCCATAGATGCACTCTGGTTTCATTGGATTCACTTTGAAGCTAAAATTTATGTAGGTTTTGTGGTGAGAAGTGTAGTTTAGAAAAGAAAGACGAGTGAAGATGTTGAACTGGAAAAGCTTTTACCCAATGATAGGTAGGTAACTTCAAAATTCCACCCTATTGCATGCTGGCTGCTGCCCCACTATTGTACATATAAATATCTGTGACAGCAGATGTTGAGATGTTTGTGACTGAAATATTTGTATACAGCATGAAGGTAGTGGCTCAAGTGTGTGCATTGATGCAATTTTGCACTCATGCATGGCTGCATTTTGCAATTCTATCATGTCTATGGGTCAACTATGAGAGTTTTTATATGTTAAAACACAGTCAGGGTTTGTTTTGTGAGTGTGCCATAAAGACATCACCGTGCAGCATAGAATCTGTGTACGCTACTGCATTCTGCATATTGTAATGTTTTCATGCAGCAAAATATGTGTTGTTACATTTTTAAGTTTTTTCACCTTTACTTTTACCAGTAGGTACCTGGCTACCAGCTAGTCTGGATTTGTGTGTCTGTTGTTGTGTGTTATGCCACACATACTCTTATTGTGCATACTTTGTCATCAGCTAGTTCTGTAGTTTCTTCTTATCAGGTATTCTGCACACACTTTCCCAGATTAACACTCGCAGGGGTGGCCGGCTAGATACCCTTTGCCTGGGTGGGGGTCATTTTGACCCCCTGAGATCTCGGGAACTAAGAGAGCTAGAGGCACCAAATTTACAGGGTGTGTTGACCTGTACATGAACTCACTTAGGTCAAATTTTCAGGTTCCTAGGTCATGAAATTTGGGTCGAATAAGGTCAAACAAGTTAAAGTTCCAGGTTGGTCTCCAAAGTGCCCCCAGAACCTAGATAACCATTTCTAAGTAAAATGTCATATTCTCATTCAAGGTCAGTGGCCTTGTTTGACCTCTTGAAGGTTAAGGTGACCAAAATCATATGAGATTGCTTGGAGTTTTGCATTTGACTATGCAGCAAAGATTAAGCTAGGTGATATCTTCCTAAAACAAAATGTTGACCTGGGTCATTTTAGGTCATTGGCCTATTCTGACATCTAAGGAGTCCATGGAAGATGTATAATGCAGTTCCTGCTATCAGTAAACTCGAGATGAATACCAGAAACTATCCCACGCAGCAAGCCCTAGAGTAACAAAACAGGTTGGTTAAGACTGAGGAGCCTTGGACCTTGCTGTGACCTTCATACCTGACCTTAGGTCAATGCAATTTGCTTATTCAACTGTTGTGTTGCCTAAGAAAGCATCTCAGAGATGTATGGCTTCGTCTAATGCTCCGTTGTTGGATCTGGTTATAGAATGTAGATCTAGAATCTAGATCTAGATCTATGTAGAATGTAGATCTAGAAATTGCCTTCCCTGAAACCATTTCCTGACTTTGACCTGCCATAGGTCAGCGACCTTACAAGGTACATGGAAATTTGTGATGCCAAACGATCCGCGCCGCGCCGTTTGGAAACCATTCTGGAAAAACCTTGGGGAGGGGGTCATTATGTCAAGGCCTGCTATTTCAGGCCTTGGTACAACATATAAGTCAGCCCACACCCCAAAGTCTGTTCATATGTCAGGCTAGCCAGTGGTTCATAGCGACAACTGTGTGTGCTGTTTGCTTGGCAGCCCGTTGACGGGCCCATGCGACACGCTGCCGTCGACGGTCCCTTAAATGTGTGATTAGATCGCGGCTAACGACGCCTTAATCGATCGCGGAACACTCTAATATCCCGACGGACATCTGTCGACTCGGGGAGCGGCGGGGAGCCACCTGTGTCAGCGAAGGTGTGGTGCGGGCGCCGCGGTGGTGGTCGGCTCTGTGACGCCGAAAGAGCCTGTAGCGTCAGCACACGCACGAGTGCGGTACTGTGGGCTGTCCGAGAGACTGGGTGAAAACCGCTGTTTTGTTGCAGCGTTGTTCAGCTCGCATTGCCGGAGCCCACGCAAGGCTGTGCTCTTTTACCTGAGGTACGTGAGTCGTTTTGTAGCCTGCCAGTGAATGTGACACGTTGTACTGGTGAAGGCAATGTTTGCTAGCTTTTTCCTTTCAGTGGCGATTTCGTATTTTAAGAGAAGGAATTTCATTACTCATGAGGAATGGGAATGCTTCACGTTCAAACTATGCGTTTCGCACGTCTTTTACTAGCCCATTGAAAACAGACATGTGGGAATCATGTGTGCCTTATAATAATAAGCTGGCCCATGGGCCATTTTACAGGTAGAATCTCAAACTGGGCTTTCATCAGAAGACGTCTGAACAAATGGTGAGAGCCCACGTTCTTAGCTCACGTGCGAGCGTCCATAACTGGTAATCGTAAACAAGTTGAGGTGTAACATGCTCATTGTAACATTACTCTTTGCACCAGCAGTCAAGCTAGTGACTGACATGGGGATGAACCTGTGCAATGCCTGAGCCAGAGTGTTATGATTTGGCGGTCGAGTTCGACTGCAGCGCGTCTTCAGGTTACAGTTATCAACATTCAATTCATGAAGCGTCTCTCCCTTCCCCCTCGCCTTTGACCCCCACCCACGAAGGCGCCAGCGTTCCACGTCGTTCTAGAGCGGCGAATGGAGCACCACCATAGAGCCGCCACCTCTTGGCGTGGTCAGCACGGTCTTGCGTCGCGCGTCCGCCCCTCTTCCCGAGCGTGCACCGTCTCCCACCCTCTGAGCTGCTCCCGACCTCAGGACTCGGAGGTGCGCCGACGCGCCGGCCGTCAGCGGCCGCCATCGGAGCGGGCCGGCCGCGCCGGCGCCGCGCCCGACAAGCATCTGCCAGTGGCGGCGGCGCGGCCGTACGGCTGGTCACTGCCGCTGCTGCTGGTGGCGCTGGCCGCCGCGCTCTACCTGGCCGTGCACCAGGTGGAGGTGCGGCTGCCGGCGGCCGGCCCGCTGGAGGCCAGCGCGCGCCGCTACCTACGCCGCCTGGTGGCGCTGGGGCCGCGTATCTGCGGCTCCGACGAGAACGACCGGCTGGCCGTTCAGGTACGGATGTCAAGGTGTGGCGTGGTGATGGTGACGTGTTGGTCACGGAGACAGGGAACGGTACGCCAGGGACGTGTGAGAGAACGACAGGCTGGCCGTCCAGGTACGGACGTCATGATGATGGGGACGTGCTGGTCGTGGAGACAGGGTACACCAGGGACGGGCGGTAGAGCGACCGGTGGGCCATGTAGGCACGGGCTTGGCGGTCGTTATCAGGGCGAAGGAGATTTTGCGTGGTCTACCCGGATCTGATTTCTGATATGCAAAACAGATGATGGATGGCCTTTAGCCCTGTCTTCATTTTGTGAGATTTGTTCGGAAATGTAGCGCGTGCGACTGGCACCTCTGTGATCGCCGCTCCTTGCGTTGTCATGACCAACCGTAACACTGGACCTCACTTGTGGGCCTTGTAGGTTACTGTGGCTTTGCTTTTGTCGCATGTCATTCGTTAGTGCCAACTTGTTCGCTTAGTTGCACAGAATTCTACTTTAAGTTGTTCGGTCTCTGCTGACAGATTCTGCTGGAGGATCTAGCAGAGATAAAGAAATCAGTCCGTAGCCACCACCAGCTAGAGATAGATCATCAGGTGGGAAGGCATAGAAGCGTCGTAGTACCCATGACGTGGCCGCTGACCCCGGAGGCTCAAGTGATCTTTGCTGAATGCATTCTGCATTTATTTAAGTGACAGATAGTTTGTTGTGTCAGGGCACAGCGTTACAAGAGATGACAAGCACGTGGCCATGCTGCGATGTTATTGCATAGCAAATACGTGCTGTTCGAGAGTTTTCATACCCACCCTGTATCAGCGCGTCGCAACTGGTCTAGCGGTGACGCGTCGGCGCCGCTGCAGAGGTCTATGGCCTCTGTCGTGCGGGCGGCGCCGCACTGACCGGCCACCAGCCACAGACCTGGCGTCGGCGCCGCTGCAGAGGTCCATGGCCTCTGTCGTGCGGGCGGCGCCGCACTGACCGGCCACCAGCCGCAGACCCGGTATCCCCGCCTGGTCGGCTGACGCGCCGCCCCCGCCGCCAGGTGGTTTCCGGCTCGTTCAAGATGCGGAGCCTGGATGGCGTGACGAGCGAGTACGCCAACGTGCAGAACATCGTGGCGCGGCTGGGGCCGGCGGCCGGCTCCAACCACAGCCTGCTGGTCAACTGCCACTTCGACACGGCCATCGGCAGCCCAGGTGACTGCCGCCCGGGCGGCCCCGGCCCGCCTGCCCGGCTCGGTTGGAGGGTGGCCGTGGATGGCAGCGCCCTCCGAGCGTTAGAGTGGGTGCATACTGTACCCAACTTGGCACCCAACGGGTGTCCCGCGTTGGTTGCAGTGTTGTGGGAGTTGAGAGGCAATGAGCTTGATAGGTAATGGGATGTGACTTCTTGTCCAAGTCCAGTGCCCACCTTCTCCTATTTTTTATCTCTGGGTAGATGTCAGTCGATCGCTGTAAGAAATGTTGGCTTGTGACTGTAAGTTGTATGCTGGAATGTAGCATCGGGTTTCAAAGATCCCATGACACCTTTTGGGTGCATTGCACCGAGTTATCACTGGTTACGCTTGCTTTTTCGACAAAGGTAACAAAATACAAGACCATGTGTGGCTGAAACAAATATCCGTCGAGAGACATGTCGGTCAACGCGTAAGTTATTTCGCATTTTACTTCATAATTAAGTTCAACACTTCTGATTGGGGGAGAGCAGTCGGCTGCTCCCAGAAGACACGGGATGCGCCTTGGATTGTGCAATATTTCAACCACCCTATCTCGGGGCGCAACGCGCGCTGTGAGAACCCCCGTCCGCCCCCTCTCCAAGTGTCGAGTCGCGGCTGATTGTGGCGAGCAGCACTCGCCTGCCGATCGCCGCGTGACCGTCGACCGCCTCCTCAGGTGCCAGCGATGACGGCATCAGCTGCGCCGTGATGATGGAGGTGATGCGGCGGATCTCGCAGAGTCGCGTCCGGCTGCGCCACAGCATCGTCTTCCTCTTCAATGGCGCAGAGGAGAACATGCTGCAGGTGCGGCGAGCCCCGTGGAGCGACCGGGGCAGGCAGTCAGCTCACAGAGGCTTGAGGTGGACTGAGCTGCGCGGACTGTCTCTCTGCTGCGGCTTAAGACAACGCGATTGATTAAGGCAACGGGTGTAGTACTGAATGCGAGCGCTGATGAGTGGGTTTGTCTCATAGCTTGTCTGATACCGAGGCACACCTCCGGTGATCGGAGTGAGCTCAGCCGCCCGTGCAAAGTGTCTACTCGAAACTGTACAGTCCTCAATAGATTCACGTGGCGACAGCGGAATGGGGACGTTTGACAGAGGCGCTTCGGCCAGTCCTGACAACGTACACCGCCGTCCCCGAGCACCACGCTGGCTCGCTGACGATCACATCGGGGTCGAACTCACGCAGCTTCCGCCGTCGCGCCCTTGGCGCCGATCGCACCCGGGAGTCCCACCGTCTCCCAGCACGTATCGTCTGCGTACCGTCCCGCGGCCGTCGCCGCCTGTCGCCGCCACACGGAGGCTGTGACCGTGCCTGCGTACCGTCCCGCGACCGTTGCCGCCTGTCGCCGCCACACGGAGGCTGTGACCGTGCCTGCGTACCGTCCCGCGGCCGTCGCCGCCTGTCGCCGCCACACGGAGGCTGTGACCGTGCCTGCGTACCGTCCCGCGGCCGTCGCCGCCTGTCGCCGCCACACGGAGGCTGTGACCGTGCTTGCGTACCGTCCCGCGGCCGTCGCGCCTGTCGCCGCCACACGGAGGCTGTGGCCGTGCCTGCGTACCGTCCCGCGACCGTCGCCGCCTGTCGCCGCCACACGGAGGCTGTGGCCCGTGCCTGCGTACCGTCCCGCGGCCGTCGCCGCCTGTCGCCGCCACACGGAGGCTGTGACCGTGCTTGCGTACCGTCCCGCGGCCGTCGCCGCCTGTCGTCGCCACACGGAGGCTGTGACCGTGCCTGCGTACCGTCCCGCGGCCGTCGCCGCCTGTCGCCGCCACACGGAGGCTGTGACCGTGCCTGCGTACCGTCCCGCGGCCCGTCGCCGCCTGTCGCCGCCACAAGGAGGCTGTGGCCGTGCCTGCGTACCGTCCCGCGGCCGTCGCCGCCTGTCGCCGCCACGAGGAGGCTGTTGTGACCGTGTCCTGCGTACCGTCCCGCGGCCGTCGCCGCCTGTCGTCGCCACACGGAGGCTGTGACCGTGCCTGCGTACCGTCCGCGGCCCGTCGCCGCCTGTCGCCGCCACACGGAGGCTGTGACCGTTGCCTGCGTACCGTCCCGCGGCCGTCGCCGCCTTGTCGCCGCCACAAGGAGGCTGTGACCGTGCCTGCGTACCGTCCCGCGGCCGTCGCCGCCTGTCGCCGCCACGAGGAGGCTGTGACCGCGGCTTGTGCCGGCAGGCGGCGCACGGCTTCATCACACAGCACCGCTGGGCACGGTCGGTGCGCGCGCACGTCAACCTTGAGGCGTGCGGCGCTGGCGGCCGGGAGCTGGTGTTTCAGACGGGGCCCGGGCATCCCTGGCTCGTCAAGGTAAACGGGCCGATGGGTAGGCTTCTAAGCGAGGCCTGGATACCCCTGACTATGAGGAGGCCTGATACAGCCATGCCCCTGACTGCTCAGGGTAATGGCTGGAATTGTTCACTGGATCGATTGGATGTCACGTGATGACCCATGGTGAACGCGCTCTGTTCAAGTTCTCGAGTGAATGTTGCTTGTTTGCATCTCTCTCCAACAGTGCTGTTGCATGGTCGAGTCCCTTATTGCCTTCAGTCGATCGCATTGACCTTTCACTGATTGAGCAGTGAATTGGAGCCACACAGCCAGAGGTCGCCGACAGGCCAAGTTCAGCGTTGCGATCTTATTCGCCGAATGCTCGGCAAGATTTCGGGTAGGTAGAACTCCATCCATACGCCCCCATACCCATCTGTGGAGCGGCTGCGAGTGACTCGTTCTGTGTGCGTCCAGGCATACGCAGAGTCGGTGCCGCACCCGTTCGCCCACATCATCGGTCAGGAGGTGTTCCAGTCAGGCATCATTCCTTCCGACACGGACTTCCGCATCTTCAGAGACTACGGCCACATCCCAGGTGCGCGACATGAGTCGGGAGTGGGTGATGGGTGTCCAGGTCACGGCTTTGAGCGGCGTGTTTACACTTTTCGTTGCCCATGTTCGTGTGTTTGAATTTGGCGTGTGACTTGATGACTTGGGCATATTGTGTGTGGCGAAGTGACTGGGCCTTTGAACAGAGAAAAGCAAAAGGCCTGCGCCTGCTGTTATTGCATATCCGTTTAAATATCTGTGGAATATCTGCATTAAATATAAATATCGCCTGCCCTGCTCTTTCACTTTGATGGAGAGCGGTTAACTTTAAGGCACATTGTTCGAAAGATCGCTTCCGCGCCATCAGCCTGCCCCGGGATGTAAACCCTAAATCAAGCCGACAATATCTTCGCAGACGTCATCCCAGCCGCCCGATTATGATCCCGGTGCCCCTCCCCCCGCCCCCTGACCCCAGCCCGGCACCTTTTGTGCTGACCCGCGCGGCCGGTCCCGCTGCCGCTCGCACCACCTCCGCCGCGTGCCGCAGGCCTGGACACGGCCTTCATCCGGAACGGCTACGTCTACCACACGCCGTACGACGACGAGCGCCAGATCACGGCGGGCAGCGTGCAGCGCGCCGGCGAGAACGTCGAGGCGATCCTGCTTCGGCTGGCCACCGGCGACGACATGGTGGACGCCCACGTCAGTGGGGGGGGGGGGGGGCTGCGGGGCCCGGGCCCGGAGCGGGTACTGGCGCGGGGCCCCGGCTCGGGAACGGGCACTGGCGCGGGCCCCGGGCTCGGGGGCTAGTACTGGCGAGGGGCCCGGCCTGGGGGCGGGCACTGGCGCGGGGCCCGGGCTCGGGGGCTAGTACTGGTGCGGGGCCCGGGCCCGGGGGCGGGCACTGGCGCGGGGCCCGGGCCCGGGGGCGGGCACTGGCGCGGGACCCGGGGCCCGGGGGCGGGCACTGGCGCGGGCCTGGGCTCGGGGGCTAGTACTGGTGCGGGGCCCGGGCCCGGGGGCGGGCACTGGTGCGGGACACGGGCCCGGGGGCGGGCACTGGCGCGGGACCCGGGCCCGGGGGCGGGCACTGGCGCGGGCCCGGCCTGGGGGCTGACGTGGACGGTGTGGAGAGCATTGGCTTGCAGGGCCGAGTTTGTTAACGTTTGTTTGTTTAGCACTGTCGCGGAAGGGTGCGGCGGCTCAAGTAGTTGACTGAGGGGTTGTTTACTCTTCGGATTCTTGAAGATGCTGCGGTCTTTTACTGACGATTCCGTGGCATGTTGATGTGCCGTTCAGATTGAATCGCTCAGTGCGGAAAGTTGTTTTTATATTTGCTTAGAACAGGTCTGTCAAATGGCCTGGATTAGCATTGCTTTGTGATGAACTTTGGTCATGTTTGTGTTGTTTCGCTGTGCTGAGATTAGGATATTAGAAAGCGCGCTGCGAGAGAAGTAGTCGTTGCCTGGCACATTTCACTGCCTTGATTACACGTGGCACTGCGACGCTCAGATGTCCACCCTCGTTCCACATCGATTATGCCCGTGCCGTTTCAGAAACAAGAAGTGGGCACCATGGTGTTTATGGACGTGCTGGGTCTGTTCATGCTGGTGTACCCCGACTGGTTGAGTGAAGTCATCTGCTGCGTGGTGGCCGGGGTCGCCGGGGTCACCATCTTCGGCTCGCTCAAGTCAAAAGGTCAGCCGCCGATAGTCTCTGTCGATGGTGCTGCGGGGTCGATGCGCGACGAGCTGGAATTGCGTCTACTGTAATCTATGGGACATTGACAGCCCTGTCAGTGTAGTGCGTGCGTTGCGGTATGATAAATGGTGCTGTAGTGTTATTTGTTTAGAAATCTGAAGACAACTGAGTCACGTAATGTGGTTGGTTTTGTTTGGTTAGTGCCGTTTCGATAAGATTTGACCGGTGGTGTCGTCGTGTCGGCGCTAGCCTTCGATTGGTGTTTCGTCTCTGAACTCATACCAGAACACCGATCCCCATGCAACACGGGTTGCCCTTGTATAGCCTGACACGGCTGTCCGCCAGGTCCCATCTGAACGTCTCCATCACTGACAGCCGCCACGGCCCCACGACGCCACACCCTTGTGCTGCGTCTGTGCCCCGCCGCGTCTGGTGATCCGCCGGCGCCGTGTGTATGCCCAGGCCTGAGCGTCCGACAGCTGCTGCTCTCCTGCGGCGTGCAGCTGTTCTCGTGGGCGGCGGCCGCGGCTGTGGTCGCCCTGATCGCCGTCGGCCTCGACTGCTGGAACGCCACCATGTCATGGTGCGTCAGACTCGCGCCCTGCCCGACCCTCCGCGAGCCGCGGCCTGGGGGCGGCGATACGGCGAGGCTCAGTATAGCCGGTCGTCTGTGGGTTGTCTTTGGGTCTACACAGCCGAGCCACGCGCGCTGTTGAGGTCTAGCACGGGTCTACACAGCCGAGCCACGCGCGCTGTCGAAGTCTAGTGCGGGTCTACACAGCCGAACCACGCGCGCTGTTGAAGCCGAGTGCGAGTCTACACAGCTGAGTCACGCGCGCTGTTGAAGCCGAGGCATCGCTGCATCGTTGGCGTGTCGACGCGTGACCCAGACGCGTTGCCGCGACGCTGTGCGCCGACGTGGTGCGTACCCGTGACTGACCAGCTCCACCGCCGGCAGGTACTCGGCCAGGGGCTGGATCCTGGGCCTGTACGTCTCCTCCATCCTGGGAACGCTCATCACGGTGCAGCAGGGCGTGTCCGGCTGGCTCTTCCCCGAGGTGAGGCGCCTTCCCGTCTGCTGTCGCCCCGGCCGGGACGGCGCTGAGCCGCGTGTCATGACGGCGGTCTGCTGTGCGTCGCCGTTGTCATGGTGTCCGTGGCCTGCCGGCTGCTTCATTCAAGAAGTGTGTTAGTGCGTTTCCTGGTCGCAGTTTTTACTTTGGACACGTGCGTCAGCTCACGCCCAGCGGCATAAGCCGTGAGCGTGACTCGCCGAGCCGTGACCCGATTCTGGAGGCCACTGCCGCCTGGAGACCGCTGTCCTGCCGCCGCCCGTCAGGTGGCGCGTCAGCCGTGGCGGCTGGAGGCGCTGCAGTACGAGTCCCAGCGCGCTCTGCTGCTGCTGGCCATGTCAGCGCTGGCCGCGTTGCGGGTCTACTCGTCGGTGCTGTTCATGCTCTTCCTCGTCTTCCCGACCGTGTTGCGCAGCGTCGTGGCCGAGCGGCTTGCTGGCGTTACTTCAGGCGAGTCTTCCGCGCGCCTCCGCCACGGGGCTGGGCTGTGCTGGTCTGCGATGCCGCACTGTCGCTGTTGTCTCCGTTGTGTGTTTGCCGGGTCCCAAGCGCGACAAAACGGGTGGTGTCAGTGGACTCGCCTGTCATGACACTTGGAGCCCTATGACACACTCGGTCCTAAGCTGTGTGGTTGTGCGCGCTTCCCTGGGCAGCTGCTCCGCTAACTCGTACAGCTGAGCTGCCAGGCACAGGCAACCTTGATTGATCAGTCACGACATGGCGGACACGCCCTGAGCTTTACCTGACTGCGGCCGGCAGGCGCGGTCCACCTGGCCGTGTACGTGCTGAGCCAGCTGCTGCCGGTGGCGCTGCTCTTTCACTTCGTCGTCATCAGCACGGAGCTCTTCATCCCGATCATGGGGCGCGCTGGCAACTCCGTCAACCCGGAGCTGCTGATCGGTCTGCTCATGGCCGCCTTCACCATCATAGGGACCTTCTACGCGGTGCGATTCGTCACCACCTCTCACCACGGTCGCGTCATTCCATATCAGGGCAGAGCGTCGGGCGCCGTCTCTGTGGCTAACACGTGGGATTTATGTGTGGGGGTACCCGCATGCATTGTTAACCAGCGCACGTAAGTGTGCATAACGTCACAGTGTTTCAACCGGACAGCCTCGCTAGGCTCCGTGCAGTCTGTGTGGTGCGGAATCCGACCCCGGACGTGTTAAGCTGCTGCTGGCCGTGCCGCTGACTGGCGCTGGCCGTCAGATGACGCTGCAGTCGCTGGTGAGTTGGTGCTGGCGGCGACGCTGACCGGCGCTGGCCGTCAGATGACGCTGATGTCGCTGGTGAGCTGGTGCTGGCGGCGGCGCTGACCGATGCTGGCCGTCAGATAACGCTGATGTCACTGGTGAGCTGGTGCTGACCGCGCCGCTGACCGATGCTGGCCGTCAGATAACGCTGATGTCGCTGGTGAGCTGCCACCGGCGACTGTCACGGCTGCTGCTGCTGCTGGCGCTGGCTTCGTTTGCACTGGTGACACTCACGCCGGCCGGCTTCCCGTACAGCGCCGAACGGCCCCACATCCGCGCCCAGCGCGTCTGGTTCCAGGTCAGCCACCCCGCCGAGGCGGGCTGGGCGCCGGTGAAGCGGCCGGTGGGGCCGACCGCGGCGTGGAGTCGGCGGATGCCGGCGTACCGGCTCAGACGCTGGATCGCCCCAGAGTGTTCCGTCGCACGAGTCCGTCCGTTCAGTTCGGAACTCCGCCATGGTACTTCAACAACTCGCTAGTTTTGAAACGGTGCCACCCCATCTGAATGTGAAAGCACACCAGTGTTTTGCGCCCCAGCTCTCTCCCGTCACCCACTCTAGCGGGGTCTCGTGTGCGCCGTCTCCCTCTCCCCGTGCAGGTCCGGGTCGTGTGTGTGACGTCACCGCTCCGCTCCGACAGCACATCGAGCGAACGTTCCGCGACCAGGCCGGTCAGGTGCGCCACCACGACTCTGGCTTCCTGCTGGTTAACCTGGACCGCAACAGCCCGACCTCGCTGCTGGAGGCCCTGCCCGAGCTGGCCACAGCCGCCAACACGGCCGACGACTGCGAGCGCGAGCTGTACTGCGGCCTGCCCTACTACTACCCGTTCAGGCGACGTGTCTAGTGAGGAGCCCCCCGCCACGTGCTGGGGCACGCCTGCGGTGTCTGCACTGGAGCGTCGCGCTCAGCGCGGGCTCACAGGCGCCCAGCTGCTGGAATTATTTGTCGTCGCGTCGGGATTAGCGGATGTGGCTTTTTTAGGGAGCGGGTCTGTCATGAGAGGTGCTTGGATAGTTCCGACCGTTCTGGCCTGAAGTTTTAGCTCTGCTCTCGGGTGTGAGTTGTCGCACAATGTTAGCGCCGGATGTTGGAGAGTTTCTTGCTTTCCGCTTAAACAGGGAAAGAGCCATGCCCAGGACAGTACGCCCAGAGACGACTTGTTTGCCTTCTTCCCAAAAGCAGTGATTTCACTACTTCGCGAAAAGAACAGTTTTCAACACCAAAGTGCCGGTAACCAGTGCTCACGACTGTGCGGTGGGCTGATCCGGCTCCGCCTCTGCGGTGGGCTGATCGGCTCGTATCGGACGGCGTCGCGTCCTCGCCGGCCTGAGCCAGCGGCGCGCCCGTGGTTACAGCGCCAATCACTACATCCCGGGCCCGGTGCCGGAGTTCAGCGTGCCGCTGGTGTACAGCACGACCGTGGAGAGACGGCCGGACGGCCTGCGCCGCGTCCACTTCAACGTCACCGGTGAGATGGCCGGCCGGGCGCGGACGGCGCCCCGGCGGCGCGCCGCGTGGCCGGTTCGTCGCAGATCGCACTGGGACGGGCCGACGCCGTTGGCCGCTGGTGGGAACTGCGTGCCACGAGCTGGTGCGAGGCCAACTGCGGGATTAAGTTCCAGGAGGAAGTCAGTAGAGACGCGCGTTGGGGGTTGGTTTTGGATGGCCCTCGCGTTTTTGAGACTGCTTTGTGAGTTTGCTGACATATTTCGTGTTCAAATATAAAGGGATTGAATAGGCTTGTTTGAATGTTTCATTTCGTACATTGTTGCAGTTTGTTTTCATTTCGGTTCGGAGAAAACATCGCCCGTCAATGGGCTCTTTGCACCTTTATTTCTGATCGTTCTGAGGTCACGCGTGGTGCGCTTGGCGTCCGTGTCCGCCTCTAGCACGCCCACCTTGTTGGTCAGCCGAGGCGGGCGCCGTGCGAGCTGCATCTAGTGGACGGACGGCCGTGTAACGCCGGCGCCCGGTGGGCCGGACAGGCCCGGACCACATGACCATGCAGCTGTCGCCGCGGCCCGGTGTCGAGCTGCTGCGCTGGAACAAGGCCGACGGCGTGCCGCTCGCCGGCATGGAGTTCCAGGGACGCCCCACCTACTTCCTCTACTACTCCTGGGGCAAGAGCAGCGCGCCCTGGATCGTGTGGGTCGACCTCAAGGTCAGCAGACAGGCCGGCGGCGTGAGCCATGGCTGAGCTGTGCTGGCGGGCTTTGATTGGGTCACCAGTATCGTGACCGCTGTTCAGTGCGTGCTTTTCGTGCGTGTTCCTCGGGAGCCGCAGTTTCACATTGCCAGTGTGTCAATTTCAAGTATCCCGTACCAGTATCGCTAAATCATAATTCGTCACGGTGCGCGCACAGATCTGTGCCATTACTTGCATAGTTAAAGTTCTGATAAAGGTTATTTTAGCACTCAGCTTTTAGATAATACCGTGGCGTGTCACGCGTCATGCAGTGACGTGATTACTGTGACGTCACATAGTAACGTGATCATCAGCTCCAGACCATGCCAACTGACATAACACTCGTAGCAGCCCGTCATTCTGTATCGATGTGCACATGCCCGGCGTTCCGTTTCTTCTTGTTTTTGCATCATTTATAATGTTAACTTTCTACACATATATCTCACCGGTGCGCTAGCCGGCTGTGGGCTCTGTCAGAGGAGCGCGGTCATAGCCAGCCGGTGTTGTGTTCGGTCTGACGCCGAGTCTAACCCGCCTTCGAATGGCTCGTGATGGACAGGTGTCTGCCGAGCACGCCGCCGATGACTACCTGCTGGACGGCGTCATCAACGGCCACCACATCCACGGCGCCGGCCGCACCGGCGCGCCGCTGCTGGCCATTCTCGGCCGGCTGCCCGACTGGACCGTTCACATCGGCTTCGCCTCCTCCCTGGATGCCATCCGGGTGTAGTTCTCGCCCTGTACTGCAGGCAGTCGGCGTGCAGTCCCCGCTGGACCGCCTGGTATCGCTCAGTGCAGGTAGGGGGGGGGGGGGGAGGGGAGGGAGGTAGTCACCGATCTGGTATCGCTCAGTGCTGGTGGGTAGCCACCGTTGGACCGACCGACACCGCTCAGTGCTGGTGGAGGTCAGAATGTAGTCACCGTTGGACCGACCGACACCGCTCAGTGCTGGTGGAGGTCAGAATGTAGTCACCGTTGGACCGACCGACACCGCCCAGTGCTGGTGGGGGTCAGAATGTAGTCACCGTTGGACCGACCGACACCGCCCAGTGCTGGTGGAGGTCAGAATGTAGTCACCGTTGGACCGACCGACACCGCCCAGTGCTGGTGGGGGTCAGAATGTAGTCACCGTTGGACCGACCGACACCGCTCGGCGCTGGTGGAGGTCAGAATGTAGTCACCGTTGGGCCGACCGACACCGCTCGGCGCTGTTGGGGGCGAGATATAGTCGGACCACCCAGTTCTTCCCCACCGTTCACACCCACTGTTCCTCCACTGTTCAGCATGGGAGGTGGCCGGGCTGTAGGCACCATTCGGTAGTATAGACGACCAGGACGTAGTCATCTCCGGACTGCCTGGCACTGTACGGCACTGGAGTTTGGTACAGTTACCGCTGGGACGCTTAGTGTTTGATGCGCTGGGGGAGGGAATAGACACTACGGCTGCACAGCGCCGTCCTGTACTGGAGGCGGCCGAGTTTTAGTCACCGATTGGCGCTGTAGGCGGCCAAGTTTTAGTCACCGATTGGCGCTGTGGGCGACCAATTTTTAGTCACCTCTGTCCTGCTGATTAGTGTTCACTTCTGGAGGCGGTCAGGGTTTAGTCAGTGCTGGGCCGCCTGCGGCTGTGTTCGGTGCCAGACGTGGTCAGATCTCGTCTAGCGGTCTGGTACGGGGGTCCTGGCTGCCGCAGTTGGTCGCCAGCCTCGCTGCGGTGCTGGACGCGGTCAGATGTCGTCTGGCGGTCTGGTGCGGGTGTCTTGGCTTCTGCAGTTGATCGCCTGTCTCGCTACGGTGCTGGACGCGGTCAGATGTCGTCCGGCGGTCTGGTGCGGGGGTTCTGGCTGCTGCAGTTGATCGCCAGCATCGCTGCGGTGCTGGAGGGGCTCGGTGGGAGGCCGGGTGACGTCGTCGCGTGGACGGCGGCGACCAGCTCGTGCAGCGGCAGGATGTCGCAGGCCGCGGAGGGTGGGGCCGGGCAGCTTTGGGAGGATCGCGACGCATTGTGGTCCGTCGAGCCCAGTGGCAGCTGACTTCACCTGTGGAGAAATGAGATGAGACATATGTGGTGGGACTGGCGCCGGGTTTTCCATACTCCATGCTGTTAGTATTCTGTTCGGGCTAGTAGGTACACAGCTAGTCAAATGTTTTGTTGCTTGTCGATGTGCGCATTCGTTCACTCCACTCAGGTAATGTGTGGCGCTCTTTTTTAGACACAGCAAACACCAGCGCTTGGTGCGGGATATTTTATGCAAAGTTGCCGCGTTTGGATTTCCGGAAAGCGAGTGGACGGGGGAGCAGGCTCGGGCAGGTGGCGGTGGAATGGCCGACAGGTTGATATTTGTTGTCCCTGGCAAATAAAGCTGCTCATGATCCGTAGATCAAAGTAATCTTCCCAATTACATGTTCTCGTATTTCCCTCGCGGTATCAGCCGTTTGTGTGGTTGTATCCGCCGTTTTTCATCGCTACCCCTCGATGTGTATAGCGATCACGGGTCCTACAATGCACGCTGTTCTGGCTGCCAGGGGCTGGTGTTTGCACGAGCTACACTCAAACACTACGTGCAGAAATCACTGAGCTGTGATCACCACGTGATCGCCATGTGATCACCACCTACCATCTGCCACGCACACGCGATCATTTGCAGATATTTCGTCATTTCAGGAAAGCATTGCCAAACATTAGTGGCGGCACTCGCTCAGTCTTTAGGCACGTCCTGAGAACGGCACTGGGTTTATAGTATTGTGCCTACTTTTAGCCAATTGGAACAGATATTCGCATGCATAGGGCTGTGAAAGTCTGTCGTTTGATCGCTGGCAATAATTTTTTGGCGCAATTGCTCAACCACCGCTAGTTATGACCAGGTTATTCCACGTTCTTTTTTGCACAAGGGCTCCCGCACTGCACTTGTTCTTTGTTGTGTAAATCTGTTCAATGTCCATACGTGCATTTCTGCTGGTGAATAGGATTCCGTGATTACCGTATACGTGTATGTTATTCCATTATTGAGCATCTGCCATTTCCTGTGTTCTGCGTTAGGCTCTCTGTCAGGCACGTATGGTATCAATACACACGCTATCAGACGATCCTCGTGTTTTCTGCTGTTTTTGTTTGTTTTGTTTTTTTGTTTTTGTTTTTTTGCCTGTCCTTGGATCGAAGACACGCGCCGCGCGCCCCAGCGCTCGAGCGCTGACTTCAGATGTGTGAACTCGCAGGATGACTTCGACCGCCGTGACGGCGAACGTCATTATGACTCGAGTCACAGCTGTGACTGGCGTCACCACTGTGACCAGGGTCATCAATGTGACCCAGTCGCTGTCACTCGGAGTGGGCCGCGCGTTGTACGGTGGCTGACCAGCCCGCAGGCTCCTGCGCTTGCCCCCTCTCTCCAATGCTGTTGGCTGGAATGCTAAAAAAAAGCGAAGGTAAAAGCTGGCCATCGCACACCGATTATTTTCTGATCTTTTTGCGCAGTGGTGTCGACTTGGTGAATGCAACTAGATACCCTCAACCCCAAAATTATTTCCCCAGATGGTAGGTGAATTTGGAAGATGGGGCCTAAACCACTTGTAAGACGTTTTTGGCACCGAGCATAACCCCAAACACTTATTTCCGCAACCTAAGCATGACATTGGCGCCTTTGACACACTGGTCTCGTGGAGACTTTGTCAAGCGTCATTTTGTCTGCTACCCATGGAATGCTCCGAACCTACCGTTGTTTTAGTTGAAACCCGAATTTCTTTGCGGTATGGTCTCATGAGAACATAAAATCGGGGATCAAAATGGTGGGTAGTCGATATTTCAGTCCATTGTCCACGGTGATGCGCCCCACTTTGGAATCGACGATTTTCAAGGGCTGCTCTGTTCTGGCATTGGGGATGTTTACCGAATATGGCCAACGTCCCGTGAGAAATTGTTTTTTTTTGGGGGGGGGGGGTCAACGTTGACCCAACTGGGCCGCTGACGTACGTGAGCGGCTCAGTCCCCCCCCCCCCCATGGCCGATTTTAGGCAGTGGCACCGTAGTCTGGAAACTAAGGGTGAAAGACGTGAGTTGACCGGAAGAGACAAACACTTGTTTGTTAGATACAAGAAGGGTGTTGGGGAAAGGGATGGCCGGTCGGGGATAAATCATTGTTCACGGGTCGGTGTGTGGCGGAAAGCGGACACTTACGGCGCTGTCGCTGCCGCTACACTTTTCCCTTTCAGGTTTTGTTGGGTTTTTTTTGGATTAGAGCCTTTTCGACCAAAACTTATCATTTCAGGGCTATGGGATGAAGGAAAGTGGTTAGCGGTGGAACATACTCGCGTGCGCATGCGGGGCCAGCCGACGGGCTTTAAGCTGCGCATGCGCACTGGGTATCCGGTCGGGGTCCCCCTTCCCATGGGGCTCCCGGCCCACTCGTAGCTGTCGCATGCAGCCTGCCCCGGACAATCGAGGCGTCGCGGGGATGCAGGATGAAGCGAGGTAGAGGATGAGAGGGACGGATGTCTGTTCCCATTTCTGATGACAGCGATGACCTGTTTCATTTGGTTAAGTGTCGTCAGCCTGACTTACGCAAGCATAAAACCATTATTCTGCGAACTCGACTCAACGTTAAAGTATGGTTTTGCTTGTTCCCATGTGGCGTTTACCACAGCGGCTCTTTTCGAGGCGCACTTGTTGAGGTTAGGAAATGAAAGCATCACATGATCCGTGTGACGTACTGCTTCAAACTTCAACCAATGCGCTTTTCAGCCCTTGCACGCTGGGTCAATCACATGCGTTCTTTCATTCGCACTAGTAGAGGTGCGCACGGTAGCTATCATGACGAGGGTCGTCGCGACTGCGGGGAAGAAGCGTAACACTGCAAGCGTCGAAAACGCAACGCACTTTGGACTTGAGAACTATTAAATTGATATCTTTACTACGCCTTGACGGTGTTGCAGTTGCACTAACCAGTCCTGTTATTAAACGTAACAAGTCCTTAGGTTTCACTATAGTGTTGTTTTTTTTGGTTTAATATGCCTCTAGGCTGGACACTCCCTTACAACGAAACCATAGATCCCGGATATATTTTCTGAGACAGCCAACTAATGTAAGGATTACAACTAATGCCATTGAACTTGGGTCAGTATGAAGTTCGGACCGAGGTCAAAGCTTAACTGCCTTTTCAGTACAGAACGTGCTTTACATGGTAGTGTTTGATGCTCCTTTCAGATTTATTGATCCTTGGGACATTTGCAGACATATTATCTGGACTTCTTGCAGGTCAGCGGGTGCCACTGGCCTTAAATAACCTATATCAAACTTTTTTCCCACCCGGTGCGGCGTACCGGCGTACCACCCAACTGTTGTGACCTGAAAGGAACACCAATGCAATTTTGCTTAGAACAGGTGCCGGGTGTTAAGGCAGTCGCATGAGGAGATCTAGAGGTACTTCGGATACCGATCTGGAGTTTGAATTCATTTGCTCCAAAGTTTAACAGGTACTTTGACCAAGTCCGTCTTAAAAATTTGACACAAGTTAGTTCATATACAAGCCGTCCTACCTTGTGAATGTCGCGTCTGTGGTCCTCTTGTTTTATGGTCCTCTTGTCTTGTTTTATTTTAATTTCGTACGGGCCAGCTCTCCCTCAGCCTTACGAAGCAGAACAGACCAACCTACTAAAGAAGTTTCAATGAAATGCGTACGATTGCGCATTTCTAAATGGTAACAGTTTTTGCTGCACAGGTGATGCACTTCTTCTTTGCAGTCTAAAAGTTGTATTTAAACCCAGATCTGTGAATTCCCTGGAAATCGTAGAAGAATGCAGCTAAACATCTAAGCTACAA